ATATTCTTTTTATATCTGTATAGTATTAGAGTTGTATGGTTTCAATTTCTTAATAGAAAATATGAATCCTTCTTTGAAATTGATTTTATAATCTCAAGGTTTATATTCTGATAAAACCTTCAAATCCTGTAAATCTTCAAAGAATTTAATGAATCTTTTATATTACACTGAAATCTCTTTTTTATTGATTCTATTGATTAATAAAGAATCTATTACTATTATAATACAATATCCAATCTCTCAGGAAATCTGTTCTTTCGGACTATATAATCATTTGCTATTACAATTATAATAATCGAATGTTAAAGTATCTTTTACTTAATTGATATTTGGATTATATTTCTTAATCTATAAGATATCAAAAACAATTATATATCTGTTTAATAATACTAAATCCATTTTGATTCGCTTGATATATTTATTTGATATAATCATCTTGATAATATTAATTTCTTTATATACCCAACCATTAATTTCAGCTTTCTTTCTTTCAAACAATATCAATTAATAAAAGTTCTGTTTTATTTCTATAGGAATTCTATTTTCTTTTACAAAATTGGGATTTATAAATATATCTATAACTCCGGAATCAACCAAAGTATTAATTTGTTGATTCTTTAGTTTGATTTTTACAATTAATTATTCAATTTCTATAGTATTATTGAGTTTTAACAATAATAATTCGATAATTTGTTTTCCAATAAAAAGATTTAGTTATTCCTATTAATGTTTGTTTATACTCAATAATCGATAAGATATAATAAATAATAATTCTATTAATTTTGTTTGAAAGTTTTGATAATAATCTTGATTTGATACTTCTTTATCATCCTTATCGATCTTTTGTTAGATATAACGAGTTCTGATTTGTAATAGGATTTCCTATACCTTTTCAACTTTTAGATTATACTTACTATATTCCTATACTTTATCGAAAAATGAAGAACCTATATCCACAATATACCTTTTAGTATCATTTATCTCAATATTTTCCTTAAATATTATATAATAAATATTATTGTATATTATTGTATAGAATACTAATAAAATGAGATAATTATAGGTTCTATATTTCTTAATGAAATCAGATTTCTTTTTTCTATAATAGTATTATATCTATTTCTTATTTAGGTAATTGATTAGATATTATAATTCATTTTCTTGAAGTAAATGATAGGATTCAATTAATTGTTGATCCTTTTCGAGTTCTTTGTCTTTTAATTCGAAATCTTCTAAGAGTTCTTTTTTATAATCGATATTGTTCTCAATATTAGTTCTAGGGTTTTAATTGTTGATATCTAATTCCTTTAATTGTTTAAGGTTGAATTGAAATAATTCTTTTTCCAATAATCTTATTTCTTTCGAATTTTCTTTCAAGATCTTTGTTTCTTGAGAATTTTATCTTTTGTTCCCAAATTTTATCTGTTTTTTATTTTTTACAATAAATAATCTTTTCTTTTGAAAACAATCTCGGGATATATATTTGCTTTTCCTATAGGTATAATATAAATTATTCTTTTTATATCTTTTCTTTTTATTAGTATTTAGATTATTTAGTTTTATATAATATCGTTCGGTATTATCCAATTTTATTGAATTATCGATATCATGATATTTGTTTTAATAATAAGGTTTTTGGAATTTCCTATTTTCCTAAATAATTCCTTTCTTTTTTATTCATCGTTTATAAAATCGATTATCAATGAGAATAAAGATTTCGATTAATTCGGAAAGATTAAATAGTTTCGAAGTTTTTGTTAGTTTGTTTTTGATGATATTCTTCAATCCTTTATAAAATTATAATTTTAGATAATCATCATCCTATATAATATATTCGGTGTATTGTTGAAACTTGGTAGTATAGGTTGTAACTAACCCGATCTATTTGAGTTGTTGTAATACTTTTTCAATTATATAATCGGAATCTATTTCTTCGAATATTTTATCAAATCCTTGTTTAAACAATTTATAATTGAAGAAGAAACAATAAATCTCAGATTTCATACTCTCATTTAACTGATTATCTATAATCTTGATTATTAGATTATTGAAAAATAATTCAATTCAATTAAATATAGTTTTATAAAAAAAAGAGATCAATTACAAAATTCTTTATATAAGAATTAAGAAAAGTTGTTTATTAAAGATATAATAGAAATCAACTTATACAATAAAAACTCAATACTTATTACAATCTCTATAAAATAAATTAGAAATAAATATTTGAATTGTTTATTTATATTCCATAATAACAATAATCTGAACAAAGACTTTGATTGAATTGAATGAAAACAATTCAATAGATTGTTAATTGGAAACTATTGTATTATATATAGTTTAACTATAACAATGTTTAAAATATAATAATTTGATTAAGGTAATAACTACTTCAGGTTTTTGTATAATTAGTAATTATAAATTAAAACTAATAATTATTAATTATCCATTCGAAAATGAATATATTACTAAATCAATTAGAATATAAATAAACTAATTAATAACTAAATTGAATATAAAGTTTTTAAATTATAAAATTATTCTAATTATATATTAATGAATATAAAAAAGCTTTGTGAAACTTTAGAATTCCAAAAAGCTTTTGGAGCTTTAAAAACTTTCGAAGTTCCCAAGACTTTTTATTATATGATTAGGATCAAATTATATATCCGAGCTTGCTAAAGATAGAGAGATTATATAAAACAATTATTATACAAATTTGTATACGAATCGCTTTGCTTTTTGATAAGGCCTAAACTCATATAGACATGTTGATTGCTGCCCCTCAACATATCCTTATCTTAATCGTAAATTGTGACAGGTTGTTTGAAGATGTTGAAATAAGATTTTATTTTATATTATTCTTTTTTAATATAATTATTTATTAATATTAAATTTCTTTGATATATACTCGGGGTGACTTTTAATATCTTATTTTAAATTATCAACTCTAAGTTTTTATATTTAATAATCTTACACTTTATTTTATAAAAGATTATTTATTTATTTGATATATTTTATTTATTATTTAAATTTTAAAGATATATTATTACAATGAGATGATTTGTATATGATAAAAAGTTAGATAAAGAGTGAGAAATAACGAGTTTTTGTAGATGGAGAGTTTTATTGAATATACTCAGATCCAGAGATTTGGATTATAAGGCTGTTGAGGTGATAGGGTAGGTGAGGGAGATGAGGTAAATGAGGTAGATGAGGGACTTGAGGGACGTGTTACAAGTTAGTGGTTTTTTATAAAAGAATGAATAATGATAAACTTTTCTCTTTTGAATCAAGGGGGGAAGGGAGGAGGGAAGGGATGGAGGACTATAAAGAAGTAAGATAGAAGTAAATAAATAGAATAAGATGAGATGTATTTTGAAGATGATAAAGTGATTGAGGTTTTATGTTTTATAATATAATGATTGGGTGGATTGAACGTTGAGTAAGATTGAAATAGAGAGGGGTTGGTTTTGTAATAGGATTTAAGATTTGAGATTTAGGATTTGAGATGTGTATTATTGTAAGAGTTACACTGTCACGATTCACGGTTTTCTTTATAGTAGTATTATTGACGTCGGTGATTTATAGGCCGACTACAGGGGGGGTGTGATTTAACCGTTGCTTTCGGGGATCCTGATTACCTAAGCCTAGGACCCCAGGATTCCTAGGATAAAGTATCCTAGGCAACCATAGTAGAATAGGACAAATATCCTATTCAATTGATTGTAATAGGACTATCACCCTAAAGGATATCGTATCCTAGAGCTATGGTTCCTAAAGGGAAAGCTCCTAGAACAAGTGTTCCAGAAAAGGAAAGGCCTTGGGATATAAAAGGCCTCAGGATCAGTCACGTGATGTGCTAGCTCTGCTAGCCAGCTAGCAGAGCTAGCATCACAGGAATGCTAACCGTACTAGCCAGCTAGCATAGCTAACATGGGAAAAGAGATTAGTATATAGTCAGAATAGTTTCATAGTTTAGAAGCTTCGTGCTCAACTTAGTTATCAATTAGTTTACCTACATTCCAATTGATCTAGTAATGTATTCACCTTCGAATAGATAACCAGTGATTATTAGCCTTAACCTACAACTACCAACCATACGAAACCCTGAGGCAGCCGCTGCCTCAACCAGATCGTTACATACACATAACAAAGAATCAATTAGTCTTAAAACAATATCAAAACTTTTTATTATCTTTTCTAAACTAGATAAATTATCCTTTTTATAAACAATTGAAAAGGTAATTTCAGATCGAATATAATCTGATATATTAATATCAATAAAAGCTTTTTGTAAAGTTTTATAAATTATATTTCATTAATTATATATTAGTATTACAAAAATAAAATCATTATTTATAATAATTATAAACTTTCAATTTGTACTCTGGGGGCGTCTGTAATAATTATATTATATTTAAAGTATAAAGTAAATATTAAAAAAAACTTTTATTTCTAATAGTATTTATAAATAATATTTATGTATAAGAATTATAAAATTAAAATTTTAATATTATTTTATAAATATAGAAAAGTTTAAATTAATATAATATAATAAAATTTTGGTTTTATTTAATATTTTTAATATTTTAATGTTTTTATAATTTTAGTATAATTTTTATTATTTATATATTTTAAATAGAGAGATAATTAAAAATTAAAAAAACTAAATAAAGATTTGAAATAAAGATTATAAAAATAAATAAGAATTTAAAATAAAATATAAAATACTTTAAATAAATTAAAATCAGAAGTTTATTTTAATTTATAACAAATATATTTGAATTAAAAAAAAAATAATAATAAAAATAATATTTAATATTGATATTGATATTTATATTCATTAATTAATAATCTTATAATAACAACAAATACTCAATTTCAATAAACTACTCTTGTACAAGGCTAGATGAAAACTTAATTTTAGTTTGTCAATCAGATTATTAAACACTCTACCTCAACCACTGGAAATATTCAATCCTTGAATATGCGCGTTAATTTCTTAGTTCATTCAAATTTTTTTCATTCAATTTTCCTATCAATTTACTACAATGACTTTATGTTCACTCTCGCATCCTTCTTTTACTCTCTCTCCATGGTATTCAATCCAAATCACTTGACCTACAATAGGTTCCTCTCACCTCATCATCGTAACGGACTTCCTTTTCCAGGGGTCCACCCACTTCCCCCTCCATTAAAGCTTGAAAGTCCACTACCATTAGCACTCCCACTACCTCCTGAGCCAAACGGTAGTGCTCCCAATGGTTTACGAATAGGAGTACTCGGTCCCTTTAAACTTACACCACCATCCTCATTCCCAGGCGGCGTATTAGCCCTACTAATATCCCTCCCCTCTCTTTCCCTTTCTCTTTCCCTCTCCCTTTCCTTCCTAGCATTAAAACCTGGCGGTCTAAAATTGCATGCCTGCCCTTGCTTATAGACTTCCATCAATAAATCTTCCACCAGTGCTCCTCCAAGTTTCTCTGCTGTAGTCCATTCTTCCCACTTCCTCCACAACCTCAGCGCTGTTTTCGCATCTTCAATACTATCATGCGTTTCGACTTGAATATCTTCTCTGAAAAGATACCATGCTAGAAACGCTAATCCTAGTTTTCTTTGTTTAGCTGGGATGAAAAAAAGATCAGCTGTATCAATAACATGCGATTTCGGTATCTGTATATTGATGACTCTAAAATCTGTCTTGAGCCCGTGCCCCACAAATTTACATCCAAGGTTTAATAAAATCCAGAGTTTCTTGTAAGCAGTTTTAAGAGAAACAAGATTATGTTTTGATTGACGTGGATCAAGATCACCTGGGCTAATACCCGAATAAGATGTCAAGTAGTCGACAATGGGATCTTTACAATTGATATAATCATCAATAAATGGAAACCCTTCGTCTTCGCCAAAGCCTCGGACAACAGAGACACGGGCCAGAGCATGTGCGATGGGTCGAATAGTTTGTCGTTCGCCTTCGGAGTTTACTTCGATTTCGGGTTGACGAATAGAGACGAATTCAGTGTCAATGGCTATGAGAGTTCCCTCAGTCGGCGTTTCATGATTGGGGGAGAGAGGCCTATGGGTTTTATCAATGACACGAGTACTATAGACACGGTTAGTAACTATAAAGGTTCTTGAAAAAAGGAGGAACAAACTTCTCATCAGCATATAATATAGAAGTATCTAAACTTTGCTTCCAAGAATTGTCAACCCGATTATTTTGATCTTTCATCTGATAAGTGATAACGGATGGAAGTTTCCAACTAGAGTTAAAAGATAGAGCATCTTCTTTTGGCATCGGAGTTACTAGGAAATCATTAAATAGAAACCATTGACTTTCTGATGGTGGATTTGGCGCAGAATGAGCAACTATGATACATCAGTACATGTCAAAAAAGAAAACACGAGATGAGTTTCACCATTTATTAAAGATACCAAATGAGGTTTCTCATGTTGCCCAATATCAATATCTGCAGCGAAACCTACTAAAGAATAAACAGTAATGTTATGAGCACCACGTTGAATATGAAGTCTTAAATCCTCGCCTTGATAACAGAATATTTGTCCTTGGCTAATAATAATTCCTATCTCTTCTGGTAAACAACCAGGTGTTTCCCAAAAATGTTTTGATTCAGGAGTAGAGATACATGCATTGAGCATAAGAATTGGTGGTGAGGTATGGATGGTCTTTTTCGTTTGTAATGATTGATATTTTTTACAATTCATACACCAACCGCGGTTTGTCGTTTCTCGCTCAACACTCGCTTTCAAAATTTCGCAAAATGATCTTTTCGGCATCGGTGGTGTTTTGCCATTTCGACCATATAGTTTCTGATATACTTAGTATAATTCAAATAATGCAATAATTTACTTACAGCAGCTGGTGTTTGCGGGTAAGTTAGATCGACAGACGACGTTGCTCCTGGTCGTGTGTGCTCGCTCTTGCAAAAAACACATTTTATAATCATTGTAGCAGGCGTAGAAAAAACCTGAACTGTTAGCAAAAGTCTTAATGGCAACATTATAAGTCGGATACTAACACGTTCAAGCATATTTGAACCACCAAAGACGCTTTTAAATTCATTTGGAATTCTATCGAGGAAAAAACGATTCATTGACTGAAGCATATTTGATAGTGGAATTCCACGTGAATCTTCCTCCAATAAGCCCAAGTGCTTAGCTTATCACATGTCAGAAGTGTAAATATCATTCTCCACGAGATCACTCACCTTCTGGATGATGGCTGAAAGTCTTCAGCAAGTTTGTTGCTTGACACACGGTCCCCGCTGCTTTCTCAAGCATATCAAACAAGAATCCCATCTCACATAACAAACACATATCATTAACACAACTTGTCGCCGTGTGTTTTAATGCCAAATTTCTGATGAGGGTCGTGAATCTCATCACCTGCAACAACGCATTTGCATATGAATTGGAAATATGAGTCTCGAGCCCAGAGTATGGAGTCTTATTATAAAATCTGCCTAATGTTAGCAGATTCCTTAAAAAGAGCTGGAAAGACTCGAACCTACCCAAAATCAAAATCATCAACTCCAAATTTACTATACTTAATCTCGACATTCATATACAAAGCATTAGTACCGGCTTGCAAAGTAGGGAGCTCTTTATTCCCTATGCTATCGGCGATATCGTTCATACCACGTTCGGGCGTCGCATCATTCACGGCTTCTCTAGCCTTTTCACTCAAAAACTTGGGCGCTGGTATGCTCGCTTGCGCCTTTTCGATCGTTCTCGTATTCTCTATCTGGTTCCTTCTAACATCCTTCCTTGCGTTGCGGCCATATATATACCAATCTGCAACTTTTGGATTTGAAATCCAATTCGAGTCGAGCTTTACAGACGGTGCACCAACTTCGAAAATCATATGACTCGGCCAAGCAGATAAAAGATTTTCTCGATAATAGGGCATACCAACTGTATTTAATGGACTGTCCGAAGTCTTATTAGCTAGACCATAAAGAGATTACATTTCATACTCACGTATCATCGGACCAGTCTGTACGAACAGGTTTCTCATCCGAATCAGCAACCTCGATAGGATTACTGAACTCGGAAAATCGAAATCTGGCCGGTGAGCCCCATATGTGTACGCTATTTTCCATATCCGACAAGGCAATAGCGTCCCCTGAAGAAGCGATCTCTAAAGATCTTAGTGTGGTCAAAACATTTGCTTGCCTCACATTACTTGAATTCGGATTGATCAAGTCAACTATATGAATTTGACCCTGTTGCGAAACGATATATGTGGTCGTCAGCATTCGCGGGTGCATTCTAACAAAAGCTGCTCCGGGAGGAAAGGGAATTGGAGGTAGGGTGGTCAATGTCTTGAGGTCAAGAACCATGACAAAAGTATCAAGCCTGTATGATCCTTGCTGTGGTAATGAATAGCCACAAGTAAGTAGATACTCGCTTTGCGCATCCATATCGTTGATGAGGGCTGTGTGAGCTTGCCAAGTCTTGACCACAGTAAAGTTAAAAGAATCTAGTATGCTGACGGATCCATGCGCTGTGGCCGCACAAATATACCGGCTTCTCTTCATGATCTTAAAGTGCTCGCTCGTGGGTACCTGAAGGTTTAGAAATTATTCTGCGAACTCGCGGAGTACTGTACCTGTTTCGTAATAATCCCCTTGTCCACATCGATAACAAACATTTGATCCTGGAGCCCTGCGACAAGTATTTCTGATGTCCCTCTCGAAGTGTAACTCATACATCGTAAGTCTTTCATGTCTTCGTGACTATATCCGCGAGATCAGCCCTGCTTTGCACAGATTCCTGGGAGTGATTGTACGTGATATGCCATATGTATAGACCCCTCCTTGATGCCATGTGAACGCTTCTTCCGCCTACAGATATAACCCCCTTATCATGAAAGAGGAATTGACGAATTGGATCTTGGCCAGCCTTGTAGGATGTATATCTTATTCCCTCGGCGCCATACCAGCTCCTGACGCGTCCCAGTTCGTCTCCCGTCCAAAACAATTCTTGAGAAGAATCGAATGCTCTCGCGGGAGCTTGCGTAAGATCCGGATGCACACCCGAAGGCGGCAGCTGGAATCTACTGACCTTAAAAATTTTAGCATGATGTGAAGCAACATCGGCCATCGTAGCCAGTTCATTCCTGTGGAATTTTAATGCGGTCGATGGCAAGGCTGAAAGCCAGCATGGAAAGCTATAGCGAGATTGAGGTTTGGAAGGCGTTTTGTTATGATAAAAAAAAGTAGGACTTACTTCCTCCCAATCACCATCCATCTTTGGACAAATTTACCGTTACCACTCCATGGTTGTGTATATAAAATGTATTATCGAATATCGAATCCCAAAAATGAGCGAGATGGGTTGAGGATGTTCTGTGGGTTGTGATTCCTTTGATTATTCTGCCCATGCCACTTGATCCTGTTTAGCTTTAGTGACGTTTACAGGGTATTTACCGCCCAAAAAGAGCTTGGTTCAGAAATCCTATGACTATAAGCTCCACCGCAAACATATAACCTACGGAGCACAGCGCCAAAGCTCCTTCAAATCAACCTTGGACTTAAAGGCTGAGACGCGCCCAATGTCAATGTTCAAACACAAGGTAATAAATGTAAGTCCGTATCTACCATTTTCTTCTTTTTATCTTGAGATCTCATTTCAAATGAACGTCTAAAATTATCAATTGATCAGTTTCGACAATCTATTGTTTCGTTGTTCTTTGTGAATCCAACGTTGAAACTGTTCGCATTACCCCTCCATCATATACCTCATTTCACAATTCTCCAACATGAATTTCTATGCTGGTGCATTTCTCGTATTGATATCAGCATGCGCTCTTCTTACATGGCGACAATATCATATGAAGGAAGAGTCGGCAGAAGATAAGAGAAATACGAATGTTTCCACCCCTCTTGCGAAGGCAGAAGCAAGCCGCTTCATCAAACTATTCCTTACTGTTTACTGTCTTGTGATGGCATCAGATTGGCTTCAAGGTAATTCATATTCTTCAAGCAACCTACTATTACTAATGCGCATATAGGACCCTACGTTTACAGTCTCTACAAAGATCAATTCGGACTCGACGAGAAAATCGTAGCTTTACTCTTCACAACTGGATTTCTATCCGGTGGCATATCTGGATACTTCGTGGGTTCATTCGCAGATAAATATGGTCGCAAATCAGCATGTCTCATCTTCTGCTTCACCTATTCGCTTTCTTGTTTTTCGACTCTCTTTCATAGCGCTCCAATTCTGTTTGTTGGACGAATATTTGGAGGTTTAAGTACGAGTTTGATGTTCAGCGCTTTTGAAAGTTGGATGGTTACGGAATATCATAAGAGGAATATACAAAAAGCTGGAATGAGTTTAAATAGCCTTTTTGGAGTTATGTCTACTTTGAACAGTGTTATGGCCATTTTATCGGGTGTGTTTAGTGAGTGGTTGGTTCAGATTACGGATGATAGGAGAATGCCATTTATGGCCTCTGCTTTTCTTTTGGGGATTTCCGCATATATTATAACCATATGTTGGGTAAGTCTTTCCATACTGCATGGAAATTTCTTTACACATAGCTAACAGTATCTCTTACAGACCGAAAATTACGGTGACAGCGCAACCACAACCCAAAAGTCGCCTCTCAGCGCCTCAAGAACTTCATCAACCTCACCTAATGCCAACCCTCCCTCTCGCACTCCCAAAACACCCCTTTCAACCTCCTCAGTCCTAAGTCTAATCTTCACTAACCCTCGAATTTTCACCCTTGGCCTCGCCTCCTGTTTTTTCGAAGGTAGCATGTACCTCTTCGTTTTCTTCTGGACACCCTTCCTAAACTCCACTCAACCATCTTCATCTTCACCTCCACTCCCACTCGGCATGATTTTCGCAAGTTTCATGTCTTCAGTCATGCTTGGATCTCTAATTTTCACCCATCTCTCCTCAACTTTCCAATCACTCACTCAAACTCGCCTTTTAACCATCGTCTTCGCTCTATCTTCTATCTCATTACTATTTCCTCTTCTCACTAATAATCAACATTATACTTTCTACGCATTCTGTATTTTTGAAGCCATGGTTGGTATGTATTTTCCTAGTGTAGGTTCTTTGAAAGGAGAATGGGTGGAGGATGGTGTTAGAGCGAGGGTTTATGGGGCACTAAGGGTTCCATTGAATGTTTTTGTAGTCATTAGTTTGGCTTTGGTAAGGGAAGGAGAGGAGTATAGGAGAGGTGTGTTTTTGATTTGTGGTGGATTGTTGGTTGCAATTAGTGGTGTATTTTATAGGTTTGTTAGGGAGAATTAGATGTGCAACATTATGACATGGAGTATACCCTCGAGTTGTTTTGGGTAGGAAATGGGTTAGGATATAGGTTTATCTTGCTCGTCTAAGCTACATGTTCGCATATCATGGAGTCTGGTCACTAGGTTGGAATAGGGAATATCAAGTCTTAAAATTACTTATTTATGCGCATAAAAAGGGATAATCAATATAAATCCCTTAGGGTTGATTACCAGCGACCACCATTGGCTATCCATTCATCCATCTTCCAAATCCTCAGACTCAACCATACCATCACCTTTCAACCAAGACATCCCTATTACCATAAACCTATCTATATGTCTATCCTCATCGCAAAAAAAGATATATCAATACTAAAATTCCCTTCCTCTTCTTTTAGCCTCATCATAATGGTACCAGCATTCATATCTGTTCCCTCTGTATATATAAATCACCTTGGTATTCTTTAATACTTTAAGTGTATATTGATTTATTGATGTATAGGTATATCACTCACCACATAACCTTTTATGTAAAATGAACATACATACATTTCCTACTATATCCCACCCCCATTCCCCGAATTCTTCTTCTCTAAGTGCTTGGCGAAAGTCCTGATCAAACCTCTGCGCTTCCGTTTCTTGCTGCGGTTCTTGAGAAAAAGGTGTGTGGGGAGTGTGATTAAAGCTTGAATGTAAATTGTAAGTAATTGTTTCGAATAATTTGAATGTTTTAAATGGTGTGAATATTTCAAATGGTGTGAATATTTTAAATAGTTTGAATATTTTAATAATATTTCATATTTGAAAACATTTGGAATATAATATATAAATTCAACTGATTCGAGTATCCCAAATAAATCCAGGAACCTAAAAGCTTCTCATTGTTTGATTGTAGTTTGGATTATTGAATATCTTGGGTCGAGTTGTTCGAGCTATTAGCGTATATAATGATTCTACATACTTCACATCTTTATGTCTATGCTTCTTTCCTCAATCTTTGCTATTCTTCAAATCTCGCGTTCTATTTCATATCCATAAATTCCTGCTTGTTGCCCTCCACCCATCCACCCATTTTACCATTTCTCCATTTCTCCCTCCGTCCCCATCCACGATTTTCTTCCTCTTTTCCTCTCCCCCTCCTTTCCCATCCCCTCTAACTCCTCTAGCACCCATCATCCATGAACATCCAAGCTCCACCTCTCCATCTCTCCACTTCCCACACAAAATCTCCACCTTCCGCTCCACTTCGAAAATCCCTTCATATACTTTTTTCCCTCACAACTGACATCTACAACGGGCTTGTGGTTTAGTGGTATAATGTTCCCTTAGCATGGGAGAGGTCCGGCGTTCGATTCGCCGCTCGTCCATTGATTACAACGTGTTGCTCTTTCATGAGAGTGGAGGATGAGAAATGAGTTTTTTGATGATTTTTTAAGGGGGATTTTCGGTTAGGGATTTGGTGCGTGCACGGTCTTTTTTTTTGGATGGGATGGATGGATGGATAAATGGGTGGGTATGTGTAGGAGATGAAATGGAAAAGAGAGAAGAGGAGATGGTTAGGACAAATGTTGTGTCTTTCTTTGTGGCTGGACTTTTGGCGGTTGGGGTGAAGGAAAAGATTGATAGCGAAGGTGGATGGATGGGAGTGGATGGTTAGGCGATGTGTTGAGTCAGGGGTAAATGGTTGAAAGTTTTCTGATCATTGATCGATGAAAGTTGATGATTGATTGAGAGATAGTAGATGAATTAAATGTATCTCGTTATTGCAATATTTGTATTACTTAGGTGTAAAATTATTAATTATGATATTTTGTTGGGTAGTATTGTTTTGATTTAGAAGATTTGCTTGTAAGCTCAGTTAACGGCTAGATGAGTAGGTGCTAGGTAATGAGCCAAGGTACTTTAATATAGAGGAGTATACGAAATAGAATGAATGATTGTTATACATATGAATTAGCTGGAAATCTGGGTTTGGTCGGCTCGTTCGTTTGAAATTTGAAATCGATTTTATAACCCCTACACTGGACGGAGAAATATTTCCAGAAGAGAATGGGAAGATGCCTCAATTCCCCATGGTACATATTGTATATGTACCTCCAAATGATCTAGCTGCCGAGGACTTATTTATCTAATGAGATTTTCCGTCCAATTACAACCGTTGAAATGAATATGCACGTCATTTGAGGGAGAAAAAGATATGTTGCATAGGTATCTGAAAATAGAAAACTTGACATGGATAAGGTTATGAAACAATTCTGATACGACATGGATCATTCGGATTCTATATATTCCCTCTCGTTCCTCCCTTCCTTTTTTATATTCTACATAAAATATTTATTAATGATGCTCATTTTGGTACATCTTCTCACTTTAAATAATATAATGCAATGGCTGACATAATCCCATCCGAACCTCCCCCTCAGAAAGAAAAGAGGTCTCGATCTAAATTTAAGAAATCAAGAGGGGCGTGTCTCACTTGCAAGTATGTTACAATTTCCATTGTTCTCTACAACATATGCCATCTTCTCATTTCAAGTATCGTGATGAGCACATTTACCCCGTGTTTCTGAGGGGCGTCAAGAACAGCTAGCACAGCTTTCATGACGACAAGCAAATGTACAATTCTGTTATTTCCAATTCTCCTGCAATTGCAGATTCACAAGCACAAACTCAGAAACTATGAAACAATTACAGAGTAGCTAAACCACAACCCAAACTCAAGGATCCGCCATATAAAATGTGACGAAAGCAAACCAAAATGCCAAAAATGCAGTAGCACGGGTCGAATCTGCGAATACCACTCTCCACACCATACCGCCATGATCCTCTCACCAAATCGCATCTCCATCAACCCAGGTCTTACTTCTACACGCAGTAGTAAAGAACATCGATATTTCGATCACTTTCGTCATCGAACCTTATTCGGCTTGATGGGCGTGAATGCCGATTCCGACTTTTGGCATCGAATGATCCTTCAGCTCAGTGAAGCATATCCCGCGGTTCTTCATGCCGTAATTGCGATTTCGGTTCTGCATGAATATTTATGCAATCCCTCGTATGCGACCCAACGGGTTTTTCTTCAGCAATATAATAAATCAATTCGATATATTCGTGCTCTGGAATCCGAGGATGAGATTCAAGTTACGTTAACATGTTGCATTATATTCGTCTGTTTGGAAAATGCGCAAGGAAATCACGGAAAAGCACTCGAACATTTGGAAAATGGATTGAAGATATACAATACATGGAAAGCGCAAGATGCAGCCCCAGCAATAAAACAAGCACAGGAAAATATTCTCGAAGTCTATACCCGTTTCGACGTCCAAGCAACCTCCTTTTGGGATTCGCGCAAACCCGTTTTAATGTACGATAGTGATATTCAAGAACCCGAATGCGGTGATTGTTTCCCCAATCTCCATGCTGCGAGTCTCGCGCAGCAATACTACGAGCTTCGCATTTTCTACGTCCTTACCGCCGTATCTCCCAAACCATCCGATTCCCATGGCCAACAACAACTCCAAAACCCCGCTAACTCCGAAGCCCCATTCCCCCACCGCACCAAACTCCTCCACGCCTTCAACACCGGAATGTTAAACTGGAAACGTGCATTCGACGGCCTAATCCGAAGCTCCTTCCCAACCTGGAATCCCCGAGAAATCCACCGCAGTCTCCTCCTACAACTGCACTACCAAACACTCTCCCTAATCGTCGATCTTCGCGTCCATTCCCACCTTACAACAAACTCATCAGAAATTCCTGTTTCCGAATATCGACGATTCCAAACCATCATTGATATTTGCCGATCTGTTCTCTCACACGCGAGTTCGGAATACAACAATGCGTTTCTCACGGCGGATGGAGGAGTTATCGCCTCGTTATATTTTATAGCCATGTCGGCACCAGATCCTCATTTATATCAGCAAGCAATCGCGCTCCTTCGATTGGTGAAGAAAAAAGAGGGGTTTTGGCAGCCGGAAGAGGTTTTGAGGGTTGCGGAGGAGGTTGCGAGGAGGAGAGAGGGCATGGGTGAGGATTTAATTGGTGGGGTGGACGGCGCGGGAGTTACGGGTGTGAAGTTTCGCACTGAGTTGTTTCCTGAGGCGAAGAGGGAGGGGAAGGTGGAAGTGGACGCGGAGCTTGCTCATGATTTGGAGAGGGATATGACGTTTCGAGAGGAAATAATGAAAGAGGTTAGTGATTTTATTTGTGAAGAACTTCCTTTTGATGATACTTTTAGGGGTGATTGATGTACTTGATTTTACGGAATTATGATTCATGAGTCTAAGTGGTGATATGAATATTGATGTTGATATTACTGGCCATGGAGTGAGTACCTTTCCTAGGGCTAGGTAGTTAAACTAGGTGGATATAAGCCATTAACCATATCATATAAATCATATATCGAAAGTATAATGATAGATAGACAGATAGACAGATAGATGTATGGATATATAGATGATACAGAGTATCTAGATAGATCATATAGAATATACGCATAAATAAACATATTTTAATACCTACTAATCTGATTCCTAATTATCACCTTACCAACTATCGGATTTTGAAATAATTCAACTCATATCAAATTTGTATCTCACATGTACTTATATAATATCAGACTCTTAGCTACACACATACACACAACACAACTTAATCACACAACATCATGTTAAACAAGAACCATCATATATCAAACTTTATCTTATATTCTTTTGTGTGACGCCCAAACGGATTGCAAATGTAAATTTTTGCATGCACCGTCCCTTTAACAAATCTTTAAAATCAAAAAAGTGCCATATGTCAATTCGGTTCATAAACCGTGAACCATCTAAACTTAACTACAACTCATCGTGTCCCTCTGGCTCATCATCACCTCCTGGTCCTCCACTGTACAATTTGCTGGTGATTGGGTATGCGACATTTGAGAGCTTCTCCTTTTGCTCTTCGAAATCTTCGGCATTGGCTGTGGCAGCGTTCTCCTCGAGCCACTCAGTAGCCTCCTTGACAGCGTCCAAAATCTATGAAAATGGTTAGCATCAAATAATCACGGTGGAAAAGATTAATAACTTACGGTCTCCTTGTCATCATCATCGAGCTTGCCACCGAGACCTTCGTCATCGTTTACTTGGTTCTTCAAGCTGAAAGCGTAGTTCTCAAGGCCGTTACGGGACTCAATGCGCTCCTTGGTAGCTTTATCCTCATCGGCATACTTCTCAGCTTCTTGAACCATACGGTCAATTTCTTCTTGAGTAAGACGTCCCTTATCGTTAGTGATGGTGATAGACTCGCTCTTTCCAGTACCCTTGTCACCGGCGGTAACCTTCAAGATTCCGTTGGCGTCAAGCTCAAAAGAGACCTCAATCTGTGGAACACCACGTGGTGCTGGTGGAATACCAGTCAACTCGAATTTACCGAGGTTGTTGTTACTGAAGATATTTGTTAGAATTATGTATTTCTGGAAATTAAAATCGTTGAAACTTACTCCTTGGTCATGGTACGTTCTCCTTCAAAGACTTGGATCAAGACAACTGGTTGGTTGTCGGCGGCTGTGGAGAAGATTTGAGATTTACGGGTTGGGATGACAGTGTTTCTTGGGATCAACTTGGTCATAACACCTCCAGTGGTCTCAATACCAAGGGTCAATGGATTGACGTCCATGAGAACGATCTCTTCAGTACCTTCCTCTCCGGACAAGACACCACCTTGAACGGCGGCACCGAAAGCAACAGCCTCATCAGGGTTAATACCCTTGCTAGCCTTCTTACCTCCGAAGTACTCTTCAATGAGTTCTTGAACCTTTGGAATACGGGTGGAACCTCCGACTAAGACGATGTCATCAACCTCGGCCTTCTTGACCTTAGCGTCCTTGAGAACTTGTTCAACAGGCTTGAGGGTCTTCTTGAAGAGATCTATGTTGAGCTCCTCGAACTTAGCTCTGGTGAGAGTCTCGGAGAAGTCGTTACCATTGTGGAAAGCTTCGATTTCAATACGAGTGGTCTTTTGGGAGGACAAAGTACGCTTAGCCTTCTCAGCCTCACGCTTAAGTTTACCCATGGTCTTGAGATCCTTGGTGATATCGACGCTGTTCTCCTTGTTGTACTTCTTGGCGAAGTAGTTGATGACTCTTTGATCGAAATCTTCTCCTCCCAAGTGAGTGTCACCGGCAGTAGAAAGAACCTCAAAGACACCACGGTCAATGGAGAGAAGTGAAACATCGAAAGTTCCTCCACCGAGATCGTAGACAATGATTTGACGTTCACCCTCAGTCTTGTCCAAACCGTAAGCAATAGCTGCGGCGGTAGGTTCATTGACGATACGGAGGACATTCAAACCGGCAATGATACCGGCATCCTTGGTGGCTTGTCTTTGGTTGTCGTTGAAGTAGGCTGGAACAGTAACAACTGCGTGGGTAACAGTCTTTCCGAGGTAAGATTCGGCGACGTCCTTCATCTTTCCAAGAATCATGGCGGAAATCTCCTCAGGAGTGAAAGTCTTCTTGGAACCTTGGTAATCAACTTGTACGGAAGGCTTGCCATCCTTTTGGACAACGTCGAATGGGAAGTGCTTCATGTCACCTTGAACATCCTTGTCGTTGAACTTGCGACCGATCATACGTCTAAAAGGACACTTGTCAGTATAAAAAACTAGTGAATGCACAGCAATTGAGAACTCACTTAACATCGTAAATAGTGTTCTTTGGGTTGGCAGCAGCCTGGTTCTTGGCTGCATCTCCGACTAATCTTTCTTCATCGGTGAAAGCGACGTATGAGGGTGTAATTCTGTGTCCTTGATCGTTTACCAAAATCTCAACTTTTCCCTTTTGCATCACACCGACGCAAGAGTAGGTAGTTCCAAGATCGATACCAATAACTAAATGACATACCTGTCAGCAAGAGAAATTTTGTAGGGGGATCAGATTGGAAGTTTACCTGTGCCATATGATTCTTGTAGAGGGTCCTGATCGGACTGTGCGTTTGCTGTTTGAAGGAAAGCGAGGGGACAGAATAAAAGTACAAGATAGAAAATTGCAGACAACCCTACAAAGAGGGAAGATCTGTTTCCACTGGCCATGATGATATGTTTACCAAGATGGGTCTGGGAATATTTTGTATTGTAAGAAGAAATCTATTCTTTGAATGTAGAAGTAAAAAAGAAGAAGTTAACAGGTGGGAGGAAGTCGACTTTATGAAAGCTTTCTTGATGAAATGGAAATCTGTCCCAAATGGACTTTGAAATATAATGATTGGTTCGGTTAGATGATAGGCGTGGAAAATCTTTGATCCGGATCACTATCGTAGGATAGTGGGAGAAGCTCATGGAAAAGGACACTCTTGCACCTTTTGTTTTAGAATAACTTTAAAAATAAGCCATCATCCCAATTAATAGACTGGGGAAAGAGAAAGGGCATGGGTCTAGAATAATCAGCTACGGCAAGTCATCAACGTTGTGATCTATTTAACCAAAATTATATCCACAATGTATATTGATATTAATTTATCTACTTATTTACAAAAAGTACCTAGGAGAGGGAACATTGATGAAAGGACACTTCATGCAATTATCTCTTGACACCTGGCATAATTCTATATACTCAAGCACTCGAATGATCAAATACATTTGTTGATATGGCTACGTGTTAGTAAAGACAGTTTTCTGATCAATCTATGATGACAAAAAGCTCGGCTATCCGTTAAATACATGAGGGCCTCTATCAATGTCTCAATACAACAAAAAGCTGCTAAATAAATAGTGATCTATTAAAGATTATCACTTCCTAAACCTATCTAAAAGCAATAAACGGCACTTTACCAGAACCATTTAATTGACCTTAAATCAAGAACCATACATGGACCCTCATCCCCCTCCTTTGCCAAGATCAATCTCATAAATGACACCTTGTCTATTTTCTATCTAGCAAGGTGTCCTCAAGGTGCCTATTCCAGAACATTAGAATTGCTATAAATGTGCTTTAGAGCTTTAGAGCTATAAAACAGCCGGACAGAAAGCTAAAATATCCAACATTGCCTCACCATCCAGAATATTCCAACATCCACGATTCGTTCAAAGCTCAAAGCATGTGCAACTCACCGCTGCCATTTCCTTTTATGTAAGTACGGAGTATGTCTGAGAACGAGTCAAAACTTTGAGTTTCCATAGCAGGAGCTTCAATAGCTAGCAAACCAACCGCCTTGCCTCCAACTCAAATAACCTTCCACTTGTATCAAAGGACAGCCACGGCCACTTTACAGCCCCTCTACTCTACGGCCAGAATGCATCCAACATCAAAACTCTATGCACATACCACGAAATAGTAAACTTTGAGAGCAATAACCTGATTTCTCTAGCGTCTGAGTTTCATACTTTCTGGCAGCACGAGTAGCTTAAGGTTAGATGAACATACGGAGTACTGGTAGACTGATTACCAGGACCAATCTATGCGCCCACTAATTAACACTATCCTGTGGTCTGTCTATGCATTGACTTGAAAACCGCAATAGGTTATGTATGTTAGGTTACAAATAGTTTCACAGAAGTTTACACCCAGCAGCGAAGTAAAATAAATTCCAGATCACTCCCAGATTCATGAATATCTTCAAATTCATTGTGAAATGGTTCAAGGTCAAATACCACACATACCTACTCGTATAAGCTAAATACTTGAAATAGAAATCGGAGTTAATAGGTTACGCGAAAACAACTTTACGCGAAACGCGGGGTTTTTGGATCATCCCGCTCTTAACTGCAGGGAAACCGAGCTCACAATGCAGGAACCGATAATACTATATTTTAAAGGTGCTCTCTATGAGGATATTTCTCTGCTCATACATATCATCATTATAGTTACTGTTAAAAACTATTCGCATTCTCCTTGAGTTCTCATCGAACAACACAACAGAGCAGTGGTACTGTGAGAGGAGGACTGAAAAACAATCATAAAACACAATAAGCTGAGCATCCATACTAAGAACCCTAGGAGAGGAGGAAAGGTAATAAATAGACTATCAGTAGCGAATATAGTTGATCGGCATCTATATTCATGTCAATATCATCCATATATTCATTCCACCATTTCACTGCGTGGGCGAAACGTAAGGGAGGAGAATAAGAGTATTAATTTAGTCCAGATTGTCCTCGAATTTCAAAAGAAATGAATCATCATAATTTCTAACATCAATGTAAGTAAATATAGATTTAAGTAACATGAATTTGAATTCAAATTTAAAAAAAAGTAAAACATCATATTTCATCCATAAAAAACTATCAATTATATATAGTATTCTTGATTTCGCATTTTCACAAAGATCCAAAGGGCAGCGAAATTTCTCCTACTATGGCCTTGAGTCATATACATTATATCCCATACCCTCAACATATCCCAAGCTCATTCGGGTATCAAACCACTCACTCACTCTATCTCCCGCCAGTCCTCAAAACCCGCCACTCTACTCCAACAACCCTGCCGCAACCGTAACTCCATCACTCCTCAAAATAACTCTCGTGGGCGCCTCCAACGGCACCGACGTCTCCAACTCAACCACCACCCTAGCCACCTGCGCCGGTTTAATAATCCTCGGCTTTTTCTTACCAATGGGCTGTCCCGTCCCTTTATCTAGCACTGCCACAATCTCCTTGATTTTACCCGCAGTATGTAATCTTCCTCTATGAACATCCACATGCATCGGTGTCAAGAACTCAAACGCCAACACCTTTGCTGTAAAAATTTTGATGTTACTTATAGGTTGACTGGGTAAGCAGAGGACATCGCCGATCTTGAGATGAATAGGATCAATATCACTCAGATGCATTGTGATATTTTGACCAGCGACTGCCCAATCTACAGTTTCGTTGTCGACTTCAAGTCCTTTGACAAAACACTTCTGATTGCTAGGTTGTGCAAGGACTGGGTCTCCAACTTGGAGAGATCCAGCTTCGATACGTCCGGAAATACTTAATGGATTTTGCACACCGCCGCGGAATACATCGCCAATTGTTAGCCGCAGAGGCTTGTTCAAGGCTCTGGCTACGGGCTCAGAATTATCAAGCTCTTCTACAAGAGTTGGTCCAGTATACCATGCCGCATCTTGCTCCGTCGATTTCCTGACGATGTTGTCACCGTTAAGTCCAGAGCACGGTATGAATTTGATGTTCTTTTCTTGAAAGCCAGCTGCCATAAGGAAGGCAGAAACTTGTTGCGAGATCTCGTCAAAGCGTTCCCGTGACCAAGTGACAGTATCGAGTTTGTTGACTGTTATAATGATTCTTTGGACACCCATACTTCGGACTAATAGTGCATGCTCTTTTGTCTGACCCTTTAATCCTGATTCGAAAGATCCGGTACTAGCATCAATTACCAACACAGCAAAATCTGCCTGACTTGCTCCAGCAATCATGTTTGGAATGAAATCGCGATGACCAGGAGCATCAAGAATGGTGAAGACTGTCTTTTCGGTCTCGAACTTGTTCATCGCAATATCAATCGTCACGCCTCTACTTCGTTCCTCCGTTCCTTGGTCCAGAACCCAAGCAAGAGCGAATGATGACTTCCCCATTTTTTCTGCCTCCTTGCGATACCGGTCTATTGTTCTTTGATCTACTACCTTCAAGTCATAAAGCAGACGACCCATTAAAGTGCTTTTTCCGGCGTCAACATGACCTGTCAAGGTTAGAAAATAAAGCAATAATTTGCTCGTATTGGTATACCTATAACTACAAAATTCGCAGCATTTTTACTTTTGGTTTTCTCGAACTCTGCTAGAACATCTAAATTTTTGCTCGTTGCTCTTGGCACATCATCAACTTTAGACGAATCAACACCATTGGAGCCCCGTGATTCCTTTGGCGATTCCTTTGATGTTCCTTTTCGTTCTTTACCACCGGCTGCTATATGATCAGTTTTACTTCTTTGATGTCGCAGAAAGTACCGAACCTTTCGACTGCGCTGCTATGACAACGTCGTCTGGACTAGGTCCTGCAAAAGGGTTAGCTGGTGTGTTCAGGACTTCTGAAGTGTACGGCATGGTAAAATTGTTCTCCGGCCGAGGCCTTGGTGTTACGCTTGCAGTTTGGAACATGGTACTAGCGAATGCAGATGGGCTGGCCTGATAGACGGGGGAAGATTCAACTGGGGGCACAATCTTTGTCTGATGGTTCCTAGAGGTAGGTTGCGGCTTAAGAACTTTTTCGTGGGGATTGGAATCTTTGCGCTTCCTGAACGGGGATCCACCGTGCTTCGCGTCTTTAGATAAAGAGTCACCGCTACTGCTGATAGATTTGTTGTCGTGAAGTTCTGTTGCGCTATCATCCCCAGTTTTGTTCAGAGAGAGATTGGCCATGGGCTTTTCAACTTCCGAGACCAAACTCTGCTGGTCTTGTGCCTTCTTCCTGCGTGCCGCCGCTAGAGCCTGCAACTTCGACATTTTTGGAGTTCCCTCCGAAGAACCTCCCAAAAGCCCGCCTGGATGTTGTGATGGAGGTGTAAAAATCGCAACACGTTCCGGAGGTAGGTTAAACCATGGGATATTGGCAAAGAAGTTCTTGGCGGATGATGTAGTGGTATATGTCTGGGAAGAAGAGACCCCAATGTAACACTCTATCATCTGTGTTAGCCAGAGTTACGTCGGAAAAAAGAAAAATTAAGGGTAAGACGAGGAACCCACCTCCGGTCCAAGTATGTGTATCCAATTCTTTCGCGACAAAAAGAAAAATTTGAAGACAAAACGAAATTGACTTACCAGAACTTTTGTTTCCTGCAACTTTCTTGGGCACTTTTGGAAGATATGTGTTTACCAAGTATTTTACCGACTTCTCTACATCATAATAGTAATGCCACAAGGCCTCTTGTATTTGTTTCTCTGTGATCTTGCTTGTACCGGAAGGTAAAGCTTCTCGAACTTTAATCGTTCCTTGTCGCATTTGTTCTTGATCTTCCTCGCTCAGTCCTTTCAATGCAGGTTAGCCAGTGTCTGCGGGGAAGCAATCAAGTATATAAATTGCTCCTCGTACCTTCCGCGGCTTCCTCCTCCTCATAACCGTAATCATCTCCACCGTCAAAATCATCCAATTCATCATCGAGATCAAGATTTCTGACGTTCTTGTGGCGCGACATCTTGTATTGAAAATTAGAAATGATACTTTTCGTCCTGAAGAACTCGCATGAAATTTGCTAGTTGACTAAAAGCCGCAAGGTATTGAGAAGACTTCAAAAGAAAATTATGTTGCAGGCTTTGAGGTTCTGGTCAGATGGAAAATAATTATAGCAAAAGGGTTCCAATGTATCGTGGGGTCCATATCGTCATTGATGAAGCTAATGGTGGGCTGGGCTTGGTTAGTCATCAGCAAAGCGTAAGTGGAGCCATGCCGCTTTTTTTCTTGGGGTTCTAGGCGATTTTAACAAATCATTTACGGTTTCCTCTAAAACATATAAATCCTATTTTCTTCGTTCTACTCTTACAGACCTTGTTTTAGTTTTCTCTACTTACCACAGGCTCATTACACTTATACTCATCGCACAAGCCCTACCGGAACTACACAGCCCGCGCAATGAACTAGAAAACACTAAATACCATGACCCAAAGGCTACGGCTTGTTCGAATCATTTCCTTTGCTGGGTATAAAACAGGAGGATGTTAATCAAACAGTATTACAGATCTGCGTTTAGACTGTCTTACAACTCGGTCACAAGAATGCTCGTCTATTAAGACTAGGCGAAAAGCTCAGCCAGCTTGCTCTATTGGATGACGACCTATAAGACAATAGCGGACAAGAAACTAATCATTTTGTAATGGAGCATTTACTAAGACTCTCAGCAGAGGCACTTCTACATAATCTCTTTCAAGGTGGGCAAATGAGGCAGTTACAACAAGCATAGCTTTCATGAAATTACACAATGTTTGCTATCACAGATTAAGGTCAATTTTCATTACACTATCAATAAGAGTATAAAATTCCCTCCAGGGAAAATAGTGTCCGTAAATTCATGTTTTCGTGATATCTTTTAACTCCAGCCTGGAAATCAGAGCTTCGCCCACTGATATCTTCAAGAAATCTATAAACGTAACTCGCACCAAAACGCCTCGCTCTTTAGAATATAGTTCAAAGATCTATGAGACTCTCTTCCACTACTTTTGCTTGAGGGACATGTTGTGGGGCAGACGGGAATGATTCTTGAGAGTACCCATTGTAATTTGAGGCAGGCGTGGGCCATGATTGTTGAGGTGTTGGAGCTTGTTGCTGCGTTTGCCAGTATGAGGGTTGCTGTTGAGAGGGAGGATACGATGGTTCTTGTGGGTTGGATGGTTGGTGGGTAAACTGTTGAGGTGACGGTGCGTGTGGATAATGAGGAGGTGACTGGACCGTATACTGAGAGTTTGACTGATCTGGTGCTGGTTGAGGTTGTTGGGAAACAGTAGTACCATAATAAGGCGTTGTATTAGGGTCAGCCGAAGTATTGTTAATCGGCTCCAGTGGAACAAAATTAATTGGAGGTTGAGAAGGAACACCTGTTGGGGCTTGAGCTTGGACAGGTGGCTGGTGTTGCTGCTGTGGCGAATAAGGGGTGGAGTTGGTTGAATATTGAGGGGCAAGATCACTGTTCTGCCAGTTGCCAGTATGTTGACGTTGGATTTGGTGGCCTTGTTGCTGCGCGAAATTCTCAGTTCGCTGGTCTAGTGTAGGATAGTTAATATCAGAGACAGATGCTCTTTTGTTGTATGCAGGGTGTTGCTGTTGACCAGGGGGATAAGAATATGTCAACTGGGGATGAGCATAAGGATCTCGTTGAGAACTACTCGTATAAAAACTCTCCGCGCCCCCACTTCCACTGGGTACATTAGAAGGAATGGAAGGATACATGTTAGGCGTAGCACCTTGCTGCGGAAGATTATAGCCTCCAACACTGTGTTGATTATACGTATTTGACAAGCGTTCCTCAAGCATACGATCGTAATACCGTACAACTGTGGAAAGCTTCGCATGTAAATCTAGTAAAGCATCTATAGCATGTTAGTTAGTGTAGACTAGATGCTGAAAAAATACATACCATGTTTGCTCATTGTTTCACCATAGGTACGTGCCAACTTTGGGCGAAGAGTACCAATGCTATCATAAAGCTCCTGGATCTGCGGCTCTCGCAGAATTGTTCCTGGTGGCTGGGTCTGTAGTCTATCTACCAGGGTGGAGAACAGATTGATGTTTTCTGCCTCGACAGCGGTAAGTTCGTAATCATTTTTTGGCGGAACGAGATAACCTGCAAAAGAGCTACTCGAGCCAGCAGTAGACGACTGCTCTTTGATAGTAGCTGTATGCTTTTTCTTCTGTTCTTCCATATCGGCAAGTGATGCTGCAATCGCCGCTTTCAGATCGTCGTCTTCTTCATCTCCAGGCTTGCCTGTATCCTTTGCAACAACTCCTCTGCTTGGCTGTTCCCGAGCTTCTGGTACAGGTTGAAGTTTCGTCTGTGAAACATAACCAGCCCCTGAGTGACCATTGACCTCCTCGAGACTCATTGCCAAAGCTCGTTTAAGGTCTTCATCGAACCCATCATCCACTCGCGCGTCCCGGGGTTGCATAGATGCATGTGACTTATGTTTATGGGATGTATGCGCAGGCGGTCGTTCGTTGGTAAATGTAGGACCTTTTGAAGACCTGTCGGTAAGTTTCATGTAGCAACCATCATCTACTCTAACAGGCTGTAGGATCCCAAGGTGAGGAAGGGGTAGATTTTTGCTTGAGCATTGTTGGTCAAAGACATTGCCGCAATTTCGGCAATGATGCTTCCGGTTCGTGAAGCTGAATGCTGTCCGGCAGCGCATACAAACATCCGAATCTATCCACTCTGGTGGCTTGTAGCAGGTCAGCACAGTTCACGGGGAAGTGATTATTTACTCACTGCACTACTATCCAACATACTGCTTGCGACGTCAGTCTTGGGCGGAAATCGAAAACCATCCCTTTGTAAAGATCTATAGGTCTCTCCAATGTAAGACAGTTCGCTGCGGCCTTCGGTCGCTGTAGCCCAGCTCTGAATAAGCTCCAATATTTTATTCTTGACGTCGTCGTTAACTGCAGCTCCGCCATATGCCTTTAAAAGCGAGACCAAATTATCCATGAACTCCCGGGATGCGATTTCAACTAGAAAGTGCGAACCGCCGTTTTTGACGCAAGTATCCGTAAGCTAGAATCCCAATCAGTAAATTGGTATTACTAGATGAAGTCTAATAATTCATACATTCAGTGCACTCAGTTGAAAGTTAGGATTCTTGTTGCCTATGCGCCTTTTGAGTGATCGCATAGCTTCATTTGCGCGTACAGTTTTGGATCGGATCACATCGGAGATTTCGAGGTTAAGTGCGATATCCTCTCTGATTAATGTTAACGATTGTGACACCCCTCGATGAATTTCAGGACTAACAAGGAAGAGTTGGTAGCCTTTTCAATCTGCTCATCCAGAGCAGAGTTGGACGCAAACCATCCTGCCATCATTTTGGCGACTTCGATAGAAACTGCTCGGGTATTTGATTTCAGACCGATACAAAGATTATGGATTTGACCGCAGCGAATGCGTAAAGTAGAAAAGTTGCTTCCACGGTGATGGGAAAGTCGTAGATATTGTGAAATGTCTCGGATTCTATTTCCTTTTCCTTTTCCGGATGAAGATATAACCTATTCTTCGTGTGAATGAAATGCTTAGACAAAGTAAGATGCGAAAGAAAGGTAGGTAGGTAGGTGGGTAGGTAGGTAGGTAGGTTGCTTATATCAGGTCGTTGACCAATTTCAAGCCGTGACGATTTAGTGGTGAATGGCTTGTGGAACTTGAAGGTTGATGACTAACAATTCTACGTAAGCATGATAAGTGCATTGGCATATGCCACTATACCACTAGTTCAAGTGTGATTCTATCACAAAGTGGCACATGATTTAGAGATTTTGATAACCAAGGGTACTTTACAGGGTGCTACGGAGCATTACGGCATGCTGCTGCTGTCATACAAGTACACATCCATATATACTAAGTACACACCTGTTAGCTTCTTAGAATAACACCATGGCAGAATGACGACCTTGTTACGAAAACTCCTAGCAACATCACTCATCGCCCCATAGAAACCGATATCGATAAGGATTATACCTAGGGAGGTATACGGAGTAGTACTTACTAGTACATACTTTAGATACAACGTCCGATCTTATACCCGCACTACTTTATCTAAGCCTCCGTACCTACCCTACCTAATCAATGCATAAGGAATTCAAAACCTTCGAAGAATGTTTGTGGCGCAAAGCAAACAATGAAGACAACATCTAATGACAATAACTTTTCCCTAACTCTATAGCACAACCTCTTCCTATTCTTTGAACCTCTTTCATGCCACTTTCTTTGAATATTTCCCGTTCACGCCGCCATCCAAACCCGGAACCTTTCTTTCCATTTTCCCTTTCAACCAGCCAGCTCTTAAAGAAACACGATTTAATTTAATTCGACGTCCAGCTTCTCGATCATAGAACGGAATGCTTCAGCAGCCTTTCGAACATCTATAACCATGAGTCCAGCAGCCATCGGTGGGCCCCACTTGCGAGCCACTTCGATCAATAGCACTGGACCGATCAACACTACAAGAAGAGATTGGGATAATGGTATTGACAACTCGAAGGGTGAAAGCCGAGTGCTACCGCATTTGGACGACTTGGTGAATGCGAAACCCCTCGTCGATAGACAGTCCTCATTACGGAAGTTACTGGAGGCAGGCGAAGAAGCTGCGAAACAAGCGGAAACATTGCTCGATTTCAAACGTCTGGATTTAGCTCTTCAACAGTACATTGTAGCTTTTACAATAGCCGTGGAGTATATTCCCCAGAGTCCGCATTACCCTGACCTAAGGACTAGACCGGATTATCCTCGACTATACGCTGGCCTACAGAAACGGCTCAACCTACAACACAGCAGATTCGAGGAAGTTAAGAGGCTAATTAAAGAGGATAATGCAAGAACCGGAATTAGCCCATCCAATTCATTTACATATAATGGACGGCCCGTTTCAGGAAATATCGACAATAGTGCATTTGAACCTACCATGCCAGATGTATATAGTAACGCAATCGACAGGCAGCTTGATGCCATAGATACCACAAAAAGGACCGAAAGCCGTCCGAAGCCAACTGTACAGCCAAAGCCACAAGGACTCCATGGCAAGTCGATTCAGACGGCAAATAGTATGTCGCCCAGTCTATCCATTTCATCCGAGAATGACTTGGCCGCACGATTTGCCCGCCTAAGAGGTTCAAACAATCTAGCCCCTATTCAAGATCCTAGGATTCGGACGCAACAAATTACTATTCCAGATGGAATCATAGTAGATCAAAAATCAACAAATGCAGTACCACTGCCCAAGCAAAATGCGAGCATATTGCGGCCTCTCGGCCCAAGGGAAATGCCAACGAGTCTAGCAATACCTCTTAAGACAGAAAAACCAATTCTTGGTATGAGTACCAGTGTCCCTGGGATGCCAAGGATGCCGGATGCAATATATAGTCCCGCAAGAAGCGCAGACGTCGCTTCCACTAACAGTCAACCGCCATTGTTATCTCGAGGGTCCTCGTACCTCAACGGGAAAAAGGAGTCCTCAAATTCAACGTCGAAGATGAATCGTAATCGAATAGCGGCTGATGATACCATGGATTATTTTTCAAGTCCCGAGGTCAATAATTACACATTTGATCATGATAGTCCTGAACCTGAGACTGCGATAAACAGGCTATCGATACCTAGTACCACAACTATTACTGCGGAACAGCTTTATGATTATCTCAAAATGGGCTCTAATACCTTGAGCCTTTTACTCGTCGATATTCGAAGTAGAGAAGAATTCGACGAGGGGCATATCATGTCTCAATCAATTATTTGCATTGAACCTATATCTCTAGGAAAAGATATGTCCGCAGAAGAACTTGGAGATAGAATTGTGCTGTCTCCTGAGTCCGAACAAAGGTTGTATAACCAGAGGCACATATTTGATTTGATAGTCTATTATGATCAATCATCGACATTGATAAACATGGAACATCCTTCAGCCGAACTCTTGAATAATTTGCAATATTTTAGTAAGATTATCTTCGATCATGCTTATGATTGTCCATTGAAGCGACGGCCAATGTTACTTGATGGTGGTCTAGACTCTTGGGTGGACCTCGTTGGATCTGGCGCGTTGCAAGGTGCAATTCCTGGCAGTAAATCTCTGCCTAAAACTAAGAAGCATGATCATCACGCTTTGGGTCGAGTCTCCATAGCACGTGAACCTCGGAGAAGCCTAGTCACGAAGAGAACAATCTCTAGATCGCGGGCATTATCAGCGGCAGAGGAAGAAAAGTGGGATAAGGCATTAAAAGAATGTGCTGAGACTGATGATGCACCTGCTGAGGAATTAGCTATGGACGAATCTCGTTATGCCAGAACGACCGAGGAATTCATGAGAAGATACCCAGAACTTTCCACAATCAAACAGTCTATGGCGTTGCCATCAAAGCCGAGGTCATTGCCTCCCTATGATGGACCAATGATCTCGGCCCCACCAACTCGGCCGCCACCAGCTTTACCAAGACAGAGATCTAATGGTATTTCCGAAAAGACACCCTATAAAAATTATGCTATGACAGGGGGAAACTCTAGCGCTCCCCCCCCTGTTGAGCCCGGTCTATGTGGTCTAAGAAACGTCACGGGGAGCCTGTGCTACATGAATACTGCCATCCAGATACTCAGTGCCTCGCCGGCAATCAGGAATATGTTTATTAGATTTCAATATCCTTGTAATCCTGCAATTCCGAAAAAGGAAGGCGAAGACAGCCCTCCACGGCTATTAATGACCCGGGCTCTTCGCAGCTTATTACAACATATGTGGTGTGGAAAATATGATGAAATTGTTCCAAGAATGTTTCAAGTGAGCTCATCCAAATCTAAAAAGCTCGTTAACTAATTGATAATAGCAATATGTCCATGCAACTGCTGTTGCCCATAAAGGTCATTTAGGCGCCAACCCCGAACGTGGCGGTACAAATGTGCACACACCTGATACAACTTATGGGACCGCAAGACAACATGATTGCGGCGAGTTTTTAGGATTCCTTTCCGACACAATTATGGATGAACAGAATATCAATCGTGACAAATTAAAAGGTCTCGCCGATGCGGCGTTCCTCGGGACAGAAGATCCTGCATTGCCAAGAACCCGAAATTGTTGTCAAGCACAAGAACGAGCTCTGGAATGTTCGAATTCACCCCTTGGAAAACTGATCTGCAGCCAGCTTATGTGGGAGAATACTTGCGATAACTGCGGCGACCAATATGTTTGCTCATCAATGTTGGGTTCCTCGATACCCCTACTTGTATACCCGGATGGCGGGGCAAGGCAAACACTGGATTCTCTGCTTCAGACCTTTACATATCAAGCAGATCCGCAATCAGGCGCGAAATGCGATGCTTGCAGTAATGAAAACAACACCGTAACAAAAACCAAGAAGCTCCTCTTTTCTCACCTGCCGGATTATTTAATAATGAATTTTAACAAAGTTCAGTTCGGTAGAGACGGGAAACACTACCGCACAAACGTTCGAGTAGATTTTCCGGAGATTCTTGACATGGGAAAATACACATGGTTATCAGAGAAAGATGATTATTCAGAACGAATTCCTGCAAAGCATAGACCTCCATTCTTATATGATTGTTATGCTGTTGTACAGCACGAAGGGACTCCTGAGGCGGGTCACTACTGGGCGTTAGCTCGTAGGATAGATGCGAATAATACGTGGACGGATGAATGGCACAAGTTCAGTGATGCTAGCGTGGAACCAGGTAAAAGGTTTACTGATGCACAAAGTGCCGAGACCGTTATGCTTCTCTACCGCCGTCAAGGTAGTGCATGATATCATATAAAAATTGGGTGTTTTTAACAAGGCAGTGATGGTTTACGATTTTGTCGGCGTGTCGTGGGAATGGTTTAAGCTGAGATGCATCTACATTAGGCGTTTTTTAGTTAGTTGGAAACTGGGGTATGCTGGAAAATATTTTTAGCGCGACTGTTTGATAGTCACTCTTTTGGATGAGGAAGATGCAAAATAACGTCTGATGAATGGTATATTATCTCTTGAGAATAGGGATGGGGTGCATTGAGGCTTGGTACATACATTTAACACAGATATATGCGAGGTACTATTATATGATCTTTCTCTACATTATCATTGTAAATGTAATTGAACAAATACCTTTCATATTTGTATTTAGAGTATTATCATGCATATATGATTACTGTATTCATTTTAGTATATCTGCAATGTTCTTTTGTGCGTCAGCTTCATCACTAATAGTCTCTTGTCTTGAATTCCTTTATTATTTGTACAAAGTTGCTGAAATGATAAAAAGGCCTGAATAACCAATCTTACCCTTTGTTCTTGCTTCAACTTTAGCCCGCTTTTGCGCATGAGTAAACTCATAGGGATGTACTCGAGTTTATGACTGATTTTCATGGTTACTGTACAGTAAAATATAAGAGAGCATATAATATTCGTAGTAGGAGAAGGAAACCTTTCTGTAGGAGCAGAATTATATTCGGGGATTTCCACAGTGTTCGTAACTATGGGGTTAGTTGGTTTTTTGTACTAGACTAGATTTGTTTCATGTAGTATATAGAGTTTTTAATTGAGGTCTGGATATTCATCTGTACAGATAATTAGATCTTGATTAATATGGATTCGAATCGAGTCATCGTTCTTATCTGAAATGGATCGAGTGATTACTGAACCGAATTCTCGGATTTCTCCAGGCAGGATTCTGTATGAAAGGATATTTACTAGGTGTCCAAGGTGTCCATCTTACAAATGCGGCAAAAGATACCAACATATTTTGATGTGGTATAGCTAGTGTGCTAGCTAGGTACCTTGTCTTTCTTTGTTATGATCATATTCTTTGTATTACTGACTTATTCGAGTCCATTTAGTGATGGCTTGATTTTACTAGATGTAGATGACTTTGCAGTAAGCTAAGTTGTGAGGACAAAGGATCTGGAGCAAAGAGAACAAGAGGATTGCTTAGTTCAATAAGAGAGAGCATAGTTGAGGTCGATTACTGACTCAATTGGGGAATTTATGACAAGGGTAAGGAAAGCGCCGAAAAGCCATTCCTTATGGTTTCATGAATAGGGTGTCCTGAAAGCTACGTTTTGCGCAATACACATATGCATTAGGGTTTTGAGATGGAATGGAGAGAATGAGTGGACAGACAGTGTGGAGGTAATGGTGATGTGATGGTGTGAAGCCTTCGTTTGTAAGAGGGGTTTGAGGTGGGAAGGGCGTGCGTAGAATTGATCAAGGTTTGATGTTTGATAGATTTACTGTACTTAAACTTGACTCAGTATTTAGTGAGTACCTTTTAAGTAAGGAATTTTTGACTGAGCATATACTGGTTGATGTGAGATTCAGCAGATTCATCAATTAGATAATAATGCTGCTTTCATATCAGACTTTCCATCATGTGTCAAGCTGCATATCTTATCATCTGCCCCAGTAGAAGAATGACCAGATTCTCCTTAACCCCCATCGGACTGCAACATTCCATATGCCCCCAGAAACTTCTATTGCCGTTTCATCGCCACAAAAAGTAATACAACCATGGTGAAATTGACTCCAAGTCCTAGGACGCTCTTCTGTCTACCATCCTCAGTAAAAAACCACATACAGAATTACTAACCTCGATGTCCTAATCTAACACTGAAGCTAAGAAACTAATTTCACAAATCCCATCCTACAAGCTCATGTGATGCCATACGTCATCAAAGCAATTCAAATACCATGACATTCTCCTATCCCAGTTCAAAGTGCTCCACCCTTTCCTTCTCGCTTCCCCTGACTCCTCTTTTACACCCTAATATCTATCCTGGGCTCGGTTAAGAAGTTGAAAATTTTAATTATGCTATCTTACAGTTCATATGTATGGTATGAAGTGGTAAAGGGAGGCAAACATGGTTCCCAAGATTGTATTCGAACTCAAACGGGGCTTAAGTGTAGTCTTGCATTCGATAATACGAAATGGACCACGATTTGCCTTTTTAGTATTACTTATTGAGGAAATTTTGCCGTAGTTAGTCTGACTTATTAATGATATTACTTTCGAGCAATTGACATTTTCTATTCCATGATAGAACTATTGCTTAATGGTTAGTATGATTGACATGTTGTGAGGAGAAATCATCAAAGTAATTTGCGAGAGTGAAAGAGAAACGACTTGTGGATAGAAGTAGCTCATTTTGGTAGTACTACATAGGAGCGTGATATCAACATTCACATTCGTTTGTGAAATTCCCCAAGTGAATACTTGTTACCCTACCCCGCCCCTCGCCACTCAGCAAGCTCAGAATTTATGCCGCCTTCCCCGTCTCCTACTCTCTCTTTCTCTCTTTCTCTCGTTCTCCCTTCAATCTACTTCGAGGCTCAGGTTCAAATCTATACTTTCAATACCATTGTGGAAGAAAGGGACACGAAGCGAGTAGCAGTGTTACAAGTGAGAACACACGTATTATCTGTGTGCATCGTAGTCTAGCATCGAAGTCCAAGAGTGAAATAAGGCGCCGATAAGTTTATGATATCGATAGGATTGTAGAATGACGACAGTGATTAATTTTAGACACGATGGCGGGGAGATAAGTCGAAATGCGATGAGATGTGACGTTGAAATCAGATGAGCGATTGAGACCAATTTCTATCAAGACGTAGATTAGTGCCACCTTAAGTCTAAATTCTCATTCAGGGTCCGAGCTTCAGACTCCCGAAGTCTTAGCAGATCTCCGAACATGCCCTTACTCACCACAGAACTAAACTTAGATGACAGTGTCACAATGACGGGTTTGGGAATAAGCGTTGAAAGAGATTAATATCAGGGTGTTCATGCTGGTGCTTTACCAAGTGATGTCTGCTTAGCGAGGATATACACATATGACTTCTCTCTCTATTCATCTGCTTATATCTTTCAGTAAACATCCATTCAAAGTACTACAGCTCCCAGGTATTCACAACCAGTGTTGCCCAGAGAGTGAATGGATAATTCTCCATACCGAACTAGCTTTTGAATCCCCACTTCTAGCAACGAGAAATGACCTACCTATAAAGCTTGGTCTCTCACAGAAAGAGCTGGTATTATGAAGGATTCAGAAACTTGCCAGCTGAAAGTCCAGGACCAGCATCATTAGGTTATACGCGGAAATCGCTGTTTTTGACGAACTGGAGAATAGCAAGAGAAATGTCGTTATTAGCAGCAACGAAAGTGGCCTTCGACAAAAGATGTTTCACCAGATGATGACACTTAGGTTTCTAACAATCGAACTAGGTTAATAGTCTCATGTTTCGCACCAACTTATTAGACGAAAACCTTCCCATTCCCTTTGTATTTGGGTATTTTACCTGGAGAAAGATTGGCCAAAACCTCATACGTCGCCATTCCAACGCATGTCTGGGTCTTTTTTGCCGAGCCTATGTAGTTACTCAGCTTGAGAAGACAACCAGAGTTCTTTTAAAGACCTCAGCCTCTTTCTGAAACAGCCATCACTATTCGGCTATTCACTGTCTCTAGTCGGGCCTCGCTCTAATGATGTTAACTATCAACCTGAGGATATCAGCCCCAAATGACATCATTGTGCTTGAACTGAATGATGTATATCTGCCCCGTTATTGAAACCCCACTTCCAAACACTGTCAGTAAGATTAGACGTCTACTTTAGATATCTCTATATAAAATTATGTTAACCGTATATATAGTAGCTGAGTTGATCTTCACGAGGCAATATAAGTTTCTGTAGATTTGTTTCCTCAAGTATGGGATATTAGATAAGTAAAGAGCTGATATCAGCATATTTGCTATAAACATAGATATCAGTATGGAAAACGGTGGATGATATATATCATCCAATGATAACTCAAAAGACATTCTAGAGAATGACAACAAACAAAATGAGCAATAAGACGAAATAACAATATATGACGAAATACATCTTATTTCTAACAATCAAATCTAGGATATCATACATTATTGCGTTTTTATATTCTGATGAATCGATAGACTTCTTGAATGTACACCTAAAATAACTTTTTGCTGCAATTCATTGAACTCTAGTCACTTCTGTATATGAAGTGCTTATGGAGATTTCAAGAAGACCTTCTCAACTCTTTTAAAGACGTCTCGAACCTGTTTTCCCCTCCATCAGCCTAGGTCAATATTACCCCTCCAAATCAAGGTGAATATCATCCTTCTCAAAAGAGGAAGTCATCCATATGTGTATCACATGCATTGGATACGTCCCCCATTCTTCAATTTCAATATCCAGACTTCTATTTAAAAAATAATCATATGCTTTTCTTCTACCTATAACTTCTAAAAATTCGCCGAGGATAGTCGGATATTGGGAACTCGATTCCATCAAAAGTATCATCACGCGCTCTTAGTTTAATCACAGCTTGCTGTAAAAAGTTACACACAAAATGACTCGCGCATTCAAGAACGGCTCGAAAAAGCCTGATTTCCGTTCTAGTTGCTGTCAAACTAATATGGATAAAGCTTAATACATTGAATTCAAACCTCAGCATTTGTTTTTGTGACCGCTTGGGGTCAAGCCACTAGGGCGGGATTACTAACAACATAATAATATGGCACAATCTCTTCCAGCCAAGCCACTGAGTTTCAGTAAGCCAAATGACGAGTATAAATATTATCAAAACTATATCCGGAGATATAGACGGGATGAAGAGAACGACAACGACAGTAGATGTAATAAGGAGACAACAATGAGCTCTTCAACAATCAAACTTTTGATAAAATATCATTTCTCATCTCTAACTCATAAACTTGGCTTAGTGGATAGCTTTAGAAGTAGAAACTATCCATTAGGAACAAAAGTATTTGTACAACATCAACTGCTTACTTGGTCTCATCTCTGTTTCTATTGAGTAAAGAAGATCAGTTAAAGGAAGCTCTTATAAAGAAGACATCTTCATTCTGTAAACTCTACCCTACTCAAATTGATTGGTATCTCGGACCATGAGTGAGTGAATCATGGACATGAAGTACTGAGAACAAACTCATTGAGGCCTGGATGGCTCCTATTCCGCGAATGACCTCTCATTTCGAAAATCAAAAGCCACAGACGTCTACTTAATGCCTGCGCTATACACCAAACTTTTACTTTCTAGATACATAAAATCAGTGTTCACGATGAGTCCTTCCAGGACGTATACAACTTATACACATTAAATAGTATGTCCAGCTAACTATTTGATCAGATATATGCTAAATGAGTTGACTCTAAGCCAGATATAATGTGTTACGGGACGACGCGGCGATGAATAATAATGATCAAAGTGTACATGACAGTGACAAAAAAGAATAATAAGTAACAACCAAATTAAAAACCTGGAAATCCATAACACAATTAAAAGATATTATCTATCTTCCTAATCTTTCAAAAATGATACCATTTCCATCCCCTTCCTTTTTAGTCCAGCTCATAAACTCAAACCCAGAGACAATTCCAACCTGGACTCAGCAGAAGCGCGAATACATCCCTGAGTCGGAATCTATTTCATGTACGTTTACTTGCAAATAGTAATATCAGCTACTAAGCTATCTTTTTATAATCTCGAGTTTCTTAAATATGTCCTGCCTCTTCTTTCATTTTAAACTTCGTGCATGTGTCCAATTCACGGGAGGCTTACTGATTTACTAAAATCATGCACCGTCTCTTCTGCAAATACATGTATATAGAATAGGGTACAGAGTGAATAGCGACTTCTCCCTGCCCTTCCACGGTTCTATTCTACAGCTACTGCACTTCCAGCTCCAAACTTCCAGGTTCCAGATTTCCACAGAGTGAATAGGTAAATGGATAGACAAATGGAAGATAGGTGGACATACATACGCATAGATGAATGGATAAATAAGTGAATGAATAAATGGATAGAGAAATAATACATGAACATCAACCTCACTATTTATAAGCAATACTCTAAAACCCCCTTCACATGCCCATGGCTTCCAGTGAACTGGCATTACGGCGTGACTGATAGGATAGTCATAAGAATCATCGAAGAGTCTGCGGTAACCTCCAACGCGGTATTAAGGTGGAATTGATAAGGAGAAGAAGAGGTGATATTATATAAAAATAGAAATATGATATAATGATAATGGGAAAATGTATATTAACAAAAACGAATGACAACAAACAAAATAGTGAACAAAGAATAAACAACAGTTACCAATATCTGTGAAAATATTTTAATAGATATCTGTCCACAATCGCCGAATTCCTCCTCATCACCACCTATTTCCCATCATTATTATCATATAGCGGAGTCCACAGATCTCGTATTTTTCCACACGTGTTCAGACCCCCAGAATTGCAAAAACAACCTAGCCTACCCAATTCCTCCTATAGCATTTCCATTCTCAATTACAATAGTAAACTAAAAAATAAACGAACCCTCTTTGCAAAAGCCTCGCCAATTTTCCCTGTGCTCCAGATAATACCTCCGCTCTCGAAGCTTCATAGCGAAATATCTCACTTCCCATCTCATTCCTCGACATCATTCACACCCCCTCCCGCTTCCTCAGCTTCCATATACATTCACCCTCTCCCCCGTGCATGGCACTTACCCTCAAAGTGCAAATCAAACCACATCCTCAACCCACCATGGAAGCACCACCACTCGCCCACCCGCTCTCTCCTCCCACCAAAGGCAATATCTCTACCTAGGTACTATCAAGCAACCACAACTACTATCACATGTCTTCGCTATCGATAGAACTCAATTGGATTGAGTCGTAATATATCCCCCTCTACTTCTCACCCACTTCTACTCCTAACAATTCTTCATAATACTAACTAAATATTTCTGGGAGGGATATCCATTACTGATCTTGATGCCATCATAGTCCCAGCCCGAAGTACCCTTTCCCTCTGCAAGTGGGATATTTATCCCTACTTGTGATTCTTTGATCATGAGGTTCGAGATTTGGTTGTGGGTGAGAAAGGGGGGGATTATGGGATTATATATACATACATATAATCTATACACATACACCTATCCATCCCCATACACAAACCAAGCGGAGTAGAAAAGAAATTAAATAAGCTTATATCATCAAATCATCATCTATCACATACCACCTACCACCTCCCCTCTCAGGAACTTCAGGAACTTCAAAAATGCCTTATTAGCAACTAGTATTCATTCTTTCATAGTACTGTCTGTTATTAAACTCCTATCATACATCTCATTTCATCTCATTTCATGCATTTCCCATTCTATTCCATTTTCATTTCCATTTCCCAACTCAACCACACCCCAAACAACCTCACTTATGTTTCTCCTGAGCATGACCCTCTGTCTTCTTCTGTAATTCCTTGATACCCGCGGGAGAGTGATCGGAATGTTCGTGGCGGTCTGCTGCTACCTATATATATGGGTTCTGTATTAGTATGTTTATATATCTTTGTGGTTATTTTGTGGAATTGAGATGAGAAACGTATGGATGGGAGAAAAAGCGGATGAAGGGATTCGAGATGAAATTTCTCAAGTTGGGTGTGATGAAGCGGGTAGAACTACTGGCCGCCATGTACTGCTAGACTTTTTAAACATCTGGAGATTCTTGGGTTTGTTAACCGCTTCTGACATCAAAGGTATGATCTCGTTCTTCGCGTCTACTCGTCTTTCTCCCCTTTAGTTTTCAACTCCCTATCCTCAGCAGAATGCTAATTCATATCCATTGATCGTCGCTCACGAAACCCTTTCAATCTTTTCCTTCACAAACCCTAGTCTCGTAGAAAGAATCCCCACACACAACACCCTTGATCCTAAGAATAAAAAGAAATAGTCGATATGTGTGAAGCCACTGGACACAGACTAACTATCTATACATGCGAGACTTCTCTCATAGATGTTGAACTCCGAATGAAGTTATGGAAAAAGCGCAATGATATATGAAAAAAGTGCAGATAATGCAGAGTAAAATAACCTACAGCTTCTTCACTATTACTAGCCAACTCTGCTTGCCAGTGATTCTTGCCCTCTTTTTGTTTAGCCAATTGATCTTGCTTATGTTTTTCATATTCGGCAGCAGTTTCAGGAGTATCTAATTACATATATTAGTTAGCGGTTGATATTTTGACTTTGTTACTTAGGGATCAAGTATGTATAATGTGAGAAGGAAATGGGGATGCTGGGATATGGTATTTTCAGAGGGATTGAGATATGCAGAATTCATACACCACAACAAGAAGATCCAGATGCTTTGGAAGTATAAATCTCTTGGGGTGTGCATCAACTCTCCCACAATACCAGCGATCCCTTGCCAAACCCGATATTCAACATACTAAGACAAACTCACCCTTATTACTCTCTTTCAAAGCTCTCACACTCGAATTTGCGAATGTTCGTCTAGCAGGTCCTGCAATTGAAACTGGACGAGCAGCTCTAATAGATTGACGAAGGAAGAAAGACATTTTTGTATTTATTTTGATAACTGTAATAAAGACGAAGGTGGCGGATTTCTTTCTGGAGAAATTAGTTAATTGATCTTCTACTTTCTGTGTGTTTGCGAGGTCAAAGAAAAGAAAGTGAAATTGAACAATAACTTACAGATTAATTGTTTAATTATTCTTAATATCAATTGCGTTTGTGTTGATGATTGGAAAGTAGTAAAGTGTGTAGATAGATATATAAAGCAACTTCCCAAGTTCCACAAACCTTCAACAAGAAATGAACAATACCTACGTCTAGAACCACCTTCCAATCTGACTAATCCAAACCTCATACCTCATCTCATACCTCATCTCATACCTCATAGCTCAATCGAATAAACAAATGAGCAAATGACAAACAATCTTGGAAACCTGCTCTACGTATGAAGCACCCTGCCTTGCTCTACCATTTCCCTCCTACCCTCAAACCTACCTCAAGCTCCAATTTAGGTGGGGGAATAAAATGTGCACCAAATGATAAAAATGACGAAATGACGTATGCCATTTTGTACTGATCAACATTCCCATCCCATCATTATTGATAGCCGGCCGGTGCACTATACCTATTTAAGTAACTGTAGAATCTACAGAGCACTCCGTACATTGAAAAGTTTATCCGAGAGATCCTCCGTGCTTTTACCGACGCCACCGCAAAGCTTTATTTACTTTCTTTACCTTTACCATAACAACCTTGGAAATTACCATTGATAGATTAATACCTTAACAATCAGGCTTACAATATAACTAGGCAGGCTCAAACTTCCCATCCATCTTTTCCCGAGCCATGAAATGCGATACCCGCCACTAAGTATGGAGTATGGTATGACCTAGATACCTAATTCAGGGGCTACCAACTACTATGCCTCCTCACATACTCATCAGCCTACCATACCTTTCATACATACATACATACATACAAAGACTCCAATCCCAAATCCACATTGCACCGTATAAACCCATGCATCCATGCAATTTCCTCTCTTATCCCTTTCGTCTTTTCCCCTTGTCCCTATAAAATAAGCATAAGGCATAAGCAAGCAAAAACAATTATCACTCATAATCAACCTCCAACCTTTCCATCTCAAACACACCCGCCCCGGTCGGTAAATAGTTTCTCCATTTTCCATCTCCCATTTTCCGTTATCTTTCTTTCTTTCTTTCTTTCATCATTTCTCCGATTTCCGATCTGTGTATCTTTCTCCGATTTCCATTTTCCGATATCCGTTTTTTTCCGTAAAAGGGGTACAAGTACTTAGTAAGTACCTACCAGTATTCTGTTTTAGACTTTTAGTATACAATATACAATATACAAAATAACAATAGAAGTACAAATTACGAGTACTCTATCAATAATGCGTATAAAAATACGATAAAAATACAAAGAAAGAATACACATCCTTAAATCTCCCAGTCCTCAAAATATATATCACCATCCCACCTCACCTTCCTGCTTTCCCATAACCTTGCTACTTATACTTCTTGTACCACCATTAGCTTACACTATAGAAAAGCTTACTCCGTACAGACAAGGAAGAGCTACATCTCCCCTCCTTCTGCCGTCGGGAATATAGTCATTACCTATTTATTGGCGACGGCATCTTTTGTTTCTGCCTACTAAGCATTCAAAATCTAAATCTTAACCTAAAACATTAGCATTAATATAAACACAACACATCAAAGAACAACACATGAATGAAGGGTATATAAATCAGTAACAGTAGTAATGAGCAAATAATAGTAAAATAATGCATCTTATAATATTCAGAAAAACGTAATGTGATATTTAAATAAATTTCAAACGCAACTATGTGACGCTTGTACCTGACCACCCAAAGACCTAGAAATACCCAAGTTTCTTGATATCATCCCAAGTACACACAAAATCGCCTCGCCCCAGCCAAAGTATATGATAATGACATTGGATCGAATTACATCAAGAACGCAATGTAAAATATGCAGCCGCATAAATGATGTACTTAAACCGCTCCAAAAACAAGCCCAAGATACCCAACACCAGCTACAAGACGCGCTCAACATACAGGGAAGTAGCGCTCGACTTTGTTCAACACACCCAACCAACACCATTAGATCCATAATACCAAAGAGTTTGAGATGGAAAATCTTTGTGTCCGACCATGTACCGCCAAGAAGTAAAAACACCAGTATCCCTTTCTCCATTGACAGAAAAAGGAAATCGTTCTATGTAACTTTGAAAGATATATCTTTTTTTCGTTGACCCATATGAAGTCGCCGCTTCATGTTCCCACCCATTAAATAAATGCTAATCCCAGAACACCGTCGCAAAAATATGCATGCGCCCTCAAATCAAACCCCATTAAAATTGGGAAAACCATCTCAGTATTTGAACAAAGGTATCGATATCTTGATGTCGCGCGCCCATTAAACCATCTCAAAGAATATATGAATAGGGGGAAGTGTCGGAGAAATATACAAGAGGATTCGTTGAGGTTGTTGTTGTGTGCCGTTACCGGGAAGATCGATGTCGAAGAGAGGGGTCAACCCACCAGAATGAAGATTGATGAGGATGCGTAAACAAATTAAAGCGAAGTTAAGAAAACCAAATGCCAATGGGTGAAAACAGAAGCAGAGAAGGTTTAATAAAATCGGATAGGAACTCTTGTTTGCTGTTGGTGCTGCTGCATTCTGGCGGGTGATACCGAGGAAGGTGGGCTCGACATTAATCCTCCATCATTGGGATTCACAATGGGAATAGCGTTTCTGCCGATACGTGTAGCTGAAGGTTGATGAATCTTTAATGCTGATACATTGAAACCGGATGAAATGAAGGGGTGAGAGTTGGAGTTGAGAGAGAAGTTCGTATCAGGAGACAGATTTACTGATACCTGTGTCGATTGTGGTGAATTCGTAGGTGATCCACTTGACAAGGAAGAACGATCGGAAGCCGAACCATTGATGGAGACCATATCTTCTTCAGTCAGGAGATTTGGACAGAATTCTGCATCGTCTTCTAAATCGAACGATCTTGCGTATTCAAAAAGTCGACGATAACTTATCACCGCTGCAGCCTCCTCTTCACGTTTCACGATCTTCTGATACTGCTTATTGGCTTGGGCGGCATTTTGTGGTAACCGGGTATTTCGGCGACTGTTTCGATTGTGTACCGACCCATTTTGGACATTTGAAGGAGTAGTATGCTGTTGATGAGCGTTGAAGTGTTGATAGTAAGAAGACATTATCGGCTCATGTATGTTGGAGGCGGATAATATAAGAGTGGATGGTTAGATGTTGTGTGTTTTTGCTGTGCTGTGTTGTGCTGAGTGGAAAAGTGACCCGAACGGTAAGGTAAGTGAGGCTTTGTGATGAGCAACAAAGGAATTTGACAGGATTTGTGCGGTGGAGATAAAACTTGAGTTGTTGACCGTTGCTTTCTATAATAGGATGAATAAAGATAAATTGAATTGGAGGCTATGTTCGAAGATGAATCAAAGGTTGATATTAATGTTTATCGGATGACGTTTTGTATTTATTTATTTATTTATTTATTTGGATCCGAAGTGAAGTTGGTGTTGTGGGAAGAAGTAAGAAAGGATAAAGGATTTTGAATGTTTTGAAGAATTGCCGAAGGAAAGTAATGTGGGAGAACAAGTAGGTTTAGATGAAGGCTGGGAGGGGAAAGGAAAGCAGTAATCAGTAGTGAGTAGTGGCAAATTGAGATGGAAAGTCGCACTAACTGATTGAGCGAGCCAGAAACTAAGCCCAAAACGACTTAGATTGCATTCAAACGAAATATCTCGCAGTTCTTAGCGGTTGAATAAGCGAAGCAGAAGATCACCTAACTCCTTTTGTAATAGAGATTTATGAAAGGAAGCAAGCATTAAAGGCGTTTTAGACATGGAAAAGAATGTCGTATGGTCTCCGTACTTAATCCCTAACCCCCTTGCTGTTCCGTCCCTGCTAGGTACCACCTCTCTCTGAGTTCCGATTAACTCTGCCACACTTCCAGGGCCACCCAGGGCTTAAAGCCTTCTCTTCAGCCGTTCAACCATTCAAATCAATACATTTGAAGCACCTGCATAGCAAGTTTTTTTAAGAACAAACAACACAACAAGCCCTAGCCGTAGATAACTTTCCGACTTTCCTTAGGAGGTACTGTTGCTAGAGTCGGATAGAGCGAAACGGAGTCTACAAGGAATTCAAATAGGTACCCGGTAGTGCTATCGTAGCGTTGAGGGACTTTTTCCGTTCTGAATCGTCCGTGGGGACCTGGGTTGAAGCTTTGGAACCTACCCTCCCTAGAGGTCATTCATTCATTTCTTTAGCACTCAGCTCTGCGTCTCTAGGCTCAACATGCCAGTATCCATCCAATTACTCATTTGATGATCTCATTAGATAGTTCCCACCCAAATTACGCTGCCATTCCCAATCTTTATCTTTATCTCCATATGGTCATGGCATGAAATTGACTTCCATATTTATCTAATCTTAATGCGATGCCCACTAACAAGTACGGATATTGAATTCTTCAAAGTTAATTGAATAATGTATTTACCGTTCAAAAATAGCTAGAACATCTTCAATAGGGACCAAAAAAGAAACTGCAGAGAATGGTGCAGAAAAAGAGTTATTCCTTTTGTTTACATCAGTCTCCTTTGAGGTTCCATGTTTTGTACCCTGAATGGTGCTTGCTTACTCCGTACTTGCGGATTGCACACTATGGAATCATACCCTACAGATTAAAACCAGATGAAAGGAAGGATGTTTAAAATCTGGAACACCCAAGGATCAGCAACCGTCCCTCCCGCCCTCGTCCTGTACACTGTGCTGCACAAATGCTTCTCCTAATTGATCATTGGCCACCATCCACCCCCCGAAAATCAGATAAGTAAGAAATGCAACCGCCGTCAGCGCACCAGCGCCAGTGCCAGCAAATACTATCTATGCGATACTATAACTATGCACGACTAAAGTTTCCCTCGCTGACCTCTGCATCATCCTGGTAAACTCAGTCCTGCATGATGTTTTAGAAGCAGCTATTGAACAGATGGGGTTTATTGGTAGGTTCTGAAAGTCTGAAAGTCTGAAAGTCTGAAAACCATTGGAACTTAGTCCTGAAGATCATACAACCGCAGTATCCTCCAATTGTTATGGGTTGAAATATCCTAACGCTCTGTTCACCATAGCATGCGCGAGTATTCTCATTTCCGTTTTATCCAGCGATAACCAGCACCAACGGCAGCTTTCATTTAAAAGGAAGCGATAGAGATGCTTAACATGCCCAGAATGCAGTAAGATTTCCGAAATTCGATTTCCCCTCAAGCCTCGACGGTAACTCCACATGGAAACGGAAATGGCTCGAGTGGGAGGTTGTGGGAGAGTCGAAAGATGCGGAAAGGAAATTCGTGCATAAAAGTTGCTAGTGTTCTAAATTAATCATCATAACACCACAACTTGAACCACAACAGTCCATTTACAACGATCAACCCACCACTACGGAGTGTCATTACGCACGAAATGCTCTATTTGCTCGATACACAACACACTCGTGAGTCGTGATGATGTACTCACCCACTACTTAGAAAGCTCTTAGTTATCAAATATGACACAACACAGCCTATAAAACAATGGCATGACATCGGATCTGCACGAATGTTTCCTCGAACAACACCACTAAATCAAATCACTCTAGATGCTCTACGGAGCTACCGTACGCTAATAATACTCTCAGTTTGCACCTCCTCCACCTCCCTACACACAAAATAAGAAATCAATCCAGACAGGAAAACCTCCCCTCCACGATTCATCCATCGGATTCCCAACCATCCATCGGGCACGCCCGTCCCCAAAAGGATTCATTCATTCCCTTTCAATAATCCCGGAGAAGGCTGAGTTGTGCAACCAGCGCACGGGGTTCACTATCCCTCCCAGAGACCCTGTAGAGCTGCCAAGTCTCTCAATTTTTGTTCCAGATCATCCTAGTAGATCTGGCGCCAAGCTGGAATGATGTGAAGCATGAATGGGATCGCTTAGAAGGAAGGTTTGAAAATAATGGGAAAATGTAATGATGTTCAAGCTAGGCTTGCATTTGGCTTGAACTCCGTATGATATGAAAGGTCCTTTGAAATCAGAAACCCAATCAAATGTGAAGCATGCGTTTCGATGTGACACTCAGGGGTGTGAAATGGGTTAGTGGGTTAGTGGCTACTGGTTTACTGAAGCCTGAAGGAGGGTGTACGGAGTATTTAAATGATGGGTGTGGATGGATGTGGATGGATGTGGATGGATGTGGATGTATTTTTGTAAGTCTTATGAATGAAATGTTTGAGATGTTCACCGCTTTTTTGCACAACTTGAGTGTATATTCACTGTCTTGCATAAACGTATCTTAATCACTGTGATGGATTAACCCGGTTTGAGGACTTTACCCCACCACCCACCCATCGCGAATTCGGAAGATCATGTACAAAATACAACATCATTAAAGTGACGGGGGCGGTGAAAGATAGATTGGTTTGATTGTGGCGAATTTCTCGCTTCTTAAGGTGCCTAGATGATTGTGATTACAGTATCCATACACTGCAAACAATATTCATCTGATATGAACAGACATCAGATGCTGTGTTACAAGTGGTTGTTGCAGTCATAACTCTGCCTGTGAAATTAGTGGTATGATGTTCCAAACACAAAGCTACAAATTCGACGACCCATGAGATAGATTTAGAAGATGTAGTTGACCTTCCAGTGGTAAGATGTTCGATATTTCTCTGCTATAGACATATGAAACTAGAAAGATTGCTGCGGTCAAGTGAGCCAGAAAGAGCGAGTCTCAACGTGGAGCTGTAGGTGGAAACGAGTAACGAGTCTTGACGTAGTGAGAAGGTTCGTGGTATGATGTCGTCGAGTCAAATCCTTACTTAATGATACGTACTCAAAAGGCAACCTCATTCTCCAACAAACAAGACCAGAAACTTTTCGAATACTTTGCAAAATTGTCCACCAAGATCTTGTATTTTATTGTCCCCGCTGCCTCCTCTAGGCCAATCACCTAGCATCCCCGCCACGTCACACAAAACCCATTTTGAATGACTTCAAAAATTCCAAAATCCAATCCACGTAGAACATTATTTGCTATCGAAAAGCAGAGACACGTGTCGAACATGAGAAGAGTATGTTATGCTATGTCAGAACCTAACGACATGTAGATCTATCCTTGAGATTAACTAATTGAGATATATCTAGCGATTGTACTGGCCTAGTGGGATGTAGAGTGAAGTTTCGAATTTTGCTTGAGGAGCTGCGAGTATGAAGCGATGCAAAATTTTAGATCAACTTTGTTGATAGACTTAATCAATCTGCCTAGCCATATAAAGTAGCTGAATTTGGCCAAACTGCTGGTCTCCATGTTTATCACACATGACCCCTTCAATGAGGTTTGTATAGTTCTTGTGGTGGAAGGTTAACATCCGTCCGTATCCAATTTGCCAGTAAAATGGGAGTTCATCTTTCCCTCCTCCAATATCCGAGAAGCTCCATGATATGACAGGTGTGAAGGTGTGAGCCTTTATCTATTCTCGTTCCCTTCCCAAATCCCTTCAACTCGGATATTTGTGAAACATGTCACTAGTTTGCTTCACCACTTGGATTCTTTCTTATTGTCTTTTCAGGCGCTGGGTTCATTTATCCAAACCTCGAGCTTTGATAAATCGATTAATCTGTTCCCTAGTAAGCTTTTCATTATATTGCTCTTGCGCCTCATAGAATGATATCATTTCTTGCGTGCAATCGACGATTGACTCGATGTCAATAGTACTTTCTGCAAGCCAAGTTGCTAATCTTTGTACTTTCGTTCTCCCCCCTTGTTTATCAGGGGCCCCGCTCTTCGCTTGACCAGCGGCCGCTAATGCAGCTTGCGCGGCACTCGCAATGTTCGTAGCTGAAGAACTACTAGCAGATTGAATTCCAGTCGCATTCGGTCGAAGTACAAGAGCTAGAAGAATGGCCATGATGGCAATAGTATGGGGTGCATAAAAAAGCGGTAAATCGGTCATGTAATGGTCATTTACAATCGACCAAGCGAGATTGGATTCTTCTGCTGATAGAGAGAAAATCCCTTGAAGAGCAGTTAAACTCCTGTAGGGATGATGAACGATCATTTGTGAACTCATTTCGGAGATGAGAAAGAACTCACATTCTCCGAGCCTCGAAGTATCATTGCTGAAATATTCTATTATCATCAGCGAATCTTCGGTGATGGCAATGTCCACTGAAGGTAACGGAGAACATACCAGGCCATAATCCTCTACCTTCACTAACCACGAGTCTGATATGATGCGGGGATTCTTCCATCTTGGAGGCCAAATATACTGCTGTTGCTAGAACCAAATATGGATTCGTTTTCCGAATTTCGACCTTTGAGTAAAATCGGCGGATGTATAATTGTGCTGTGGCCATTGCTTGTTGTCGCACCCCGAGTCGTTTTCCAAGTCGAGTCATTTCTGTGTTAAGTATCAACCGTCTGATCCTTTAAGGCTTTGTATGCCCTGCTTCATACGTTGATTGAAATATATGCTCAGATGCCTCAGCTGTGGCAGAGGGTATCCTTGTACGAGGGCTGGATCTTCATCTTCAAGCTTGGATCTTAAATCATCCAGTTGCTCCCGGGTGAACTGCCAGTGTTTCCGTTGAGTTGACTAGATAATGAATTAACTTTTAATCAAAGGATGGGGCCTTGTTGTGTAGCATACCTCCCAGTAGTTGGCAGCCATCGCGAATAGTCCTAAGAGCAGAACCGCCGACACTTCAAATTCAATATTGTTGAAACAGTGAGAAGAATAGCATTCTTCCAAAGCTCGATAGCATCTGCGGAAATCCTGGAATCCTCGCCTTCAATAAATCGAGGTGATTGTACGATGAAAACCGTTCACTAGACTTCTTTCTGTGGGTAATGATGCAGTTCACCAAGAATGCAGTTCACCAAGAGGGAAGATGACAATGATGAAAAGTACCGAGGCTGAAAGTGACAAGGCTGACGCTAATAAAGGATCGACATCGGAAATCCTGGCCCCCACTACGGTGGTACAATGCAACCAATCAAGCATTCCTCATTGGTCAAGCTTGAATCTTTGGACTGAATCTTGGAAGTTTGCGCCCTGAAATTTGAACTTCACCTCTATACTGCTTCACTTCGCACCGAAACTTTGATAATGTTATGAAAGTTGAAGAAGGATATGTTCGCTCGTTCGCATCGATGATAACCATATATCCTCAACTTTTGATCAGTTCATTGATCAAGTACTACGACATGACTGCGGAATCATAACCCCACGACCGCAACATAAAAAAGATATCATGAAGCTACCAGAAGCATTAGAAACCCAGAACGCTCGCGACGATAGGGTTGAGCAGCTATGGAGGAAGTTGGATACAAAGCAGAGAGGCGAAATCAATCTGCAAGAGCTTCAAAAGGGGCTGCGGAGGATCGATCACCCTTTAAAGGATGCCAGTGATTTGCTAAGAGATGTAGTAAAGGCTATGGATAAAAATGGAGATGAAGTTATACAATATGAGGGTATGGACATACAATTTCTGTTCCCGATAGCACCACCCTGATCTCCAGCTTCAGAAATTCTTACTCACTATATTCCGTCTAGAATTTCGATTATTTGTCGAAAAAACGGAAAAGGAGCTGTTCGTCCTCTTCCAAGGCATTGATAAGGACCATGACAACAGATTGGATAAAGATGAATTGCAAGTTGCATTCAAAAAAGCAGGACTTACCATTTCAAAACCTAAATTAGACCTGTTCTTCACTGAGGTTGATATGAATAACGATGTTCGTACCGAATCACCATTTTGGAGACTTCCCATGAATATCATATCTAACTTAACTTGAAGGGATATATAACTTTCGATGAATGGAGGTTAGTGCTATGATTTCTTCTACATCGAGTGAATGATTCTGCATTGAGTAAATGAATTCAATCAGATGATTTTCCTTAAAGTTTACTTCAATTTTGTAGGGTTGCTAAGCTTCCGCTAAGAGCGACGGGGTGAAAATTAGCACAACTAGCACAACTAGTATATCCCACAAACACTGGTAGCCACATACGTTGCCATGGCATTTAAATTTCCAATCAATCGAGTCATCTGAGATACATCAGTCCTAACCAATAATTTATAGAAACTTCTTATTATTTCTACCCGCTACAGCTTCTACCCAGCCTCTCAAGGCCGTACTATCTTATTATCAATCTGCAGTATCTGTGAACGCCGAGGGTGATACATCAATTCGAGAAGACACACTGGAAGGCTTAGGTACCAAAACAAATTTCCTTAAGCTTCTTTTTGGGGCAGTTTTTAGTATCGCAGAATCGCATCGAGGCCGCACTTCCACAATACATATGGGAGTAGCACCTTCACCCACATCTTCCAACAAGAAAACCGCAAAAAAGGACATTGCAGATATACAAGCACTCAATGCTATTGACTCTGTTGATGATGTATATGGCCGTGATATCGACCCAATTCATCCAAGAACTGAAATGATGGCCAATGTTCTAAGGGGGCGTCATCGACAAGAGCTGACCCAGGAAGTTTCTAAAAAGTTGAAGCCGTCAGAGAGATCAAGGCTGACGGAGATATTACCTGATCCAGGCTACTTCGCGGCGGGTGCTATCGCTGGGATCTTTTCTCGCACAGCAACAGCACCCATAGATCGCTTGAAAGTTTATCTTATCGCCAATGTCTCTGCAAAGAGAGCGCCTCTCGAAGCCGCGAAGCAGGGAAATGTGGCTGCAGTCGCTAAAATGGCCGGGCAGCCCATAATACTTGCTGTCAAGGAGCTTTGGAGGGCTGGCGGTATTCGCAGCTTATTTGCTGGCATGTTTCTCATGGTTTTTACTCTTACTAAAAACTAACCAATACACAGGTAATGGCTTGAACGTCATCAAAGTTATGCCTGAAAGTGCTATCAAATTCGGCTCATTCGAAGCGGCGAAGAAACATCTGGCTCAATTGGAAGGACATGGTAATTCTAGGAATATTAATCCTTATTCAAAATTTGTCGCGGGTGGTTTCGCTGGAATAATGTCGCAGTAAGTACTTCAATTAAATCACATGATATAACTACTAAACCGTGATTGCAGATTGGTTGTCTATCCGATTGATACTCTAAAATTCCGGTAAGATATCACCCCTGCTCTTATCATTTGAATATTATCTAATTCATCTCTAGAATGCAATGCGAAACTGTTGCTGGTGGCCTTCGCGGAAATGCTCTAATCGTCGCTACCGCTAGACAGATGTATAAACAAGGTGGATTACGATGCGCATATAGAGGTTTGACAATGGGTCTGGTTGGCATGTTTCCTTATTCGGCTATTGATCTCGCCACTTTCGAAACTTTGAAGGCTTACATGACACGCCGAAATATGTTGCGCTTTGGCTATAGTGCGGAGGATGCGACACCAGGGCCACTTGTTACAGGAGCTATTGGTGCATTTTCTGGGGCATTCGGTGCAAGCATAGTCTATCCGATCAATCTCCTCCGCACACGTTTACAAGCTCAAGGCACGGTTCTGCACCCTCCGACTTACAATGGTATGATGGATGTTGCGCAGAAGACTATTAAGAACGAAGGCTTCCGCGGCTTGTACAAGGGCCTTGCACCAAATTTATTCAAGGTGGTACCTGCCGTCAGTATCACATATGTCGTCTACGAACAAGCTAAGAAGAGCATGGACTTGCATTAAAAAAAGTTCAACATATGACCATATTACTTTTTGGGTCTTATCCCGCATTCTTGTTTTACATATTATTTCCTAGGGTGCAGTCTGAGGATTTCCGGCAAGGTATCGGTCCCACAGTTACAAACCTTTGTCCAAGAATAACCCTGGGATATTCGGGACAAAAACAATGACGAAGTGTATTTTGCAATTCGTCCTTCATTCTAGTTTCTGCTTCCTATACAAATACACCACAACGACCTGTCAAACCTCTATCGTTTGGGACCAATGTCAGCGGACAGCATTTTTATACCACGACTCTTCAACCATACCACATTTCTTTCCTTTATTAAAATTCAGAGAGATCTGCATCAAACCGGCGTTTTAATTTTCAATTTTCTCATTTGTCATCAACAATTCGGCGTTTTTAGGAATGGAGATACGGATACATACCTATGGATGGTAGGGATTATGATATATCTGCATATATACAATGCAAACTTAGATATGGTCTACTGGTTTTGTGCGGGGAAAAAGGCGGGAGGGGTCGGGGAAATTAGGGATGGGGAGATAGAGGGAAGGATGGAGAGGCGGGAAAATGCTAGTGTGCTAAAATATGTGCATATTGAGCAGGGTGATGATATCAGTTTGTTACATATGTAACCATTCGTAGAGAAATAAAAATGTCATACATTTGAGGTGGTTTTTGTGAGTGCATCTCTGAATGTTTTGATGTGATCTGTTATAATGTGATTATATTCACAACCCTTCTTTACCCCAAGAGAAATATCACAAAGTATACTAATATCATCTTACTATGATATTTAAACAGCAGCGAAATTACATATTTTCTTTCATAAATAACAATGCCAGAAAGACGATAGTATAGTTAGGTTAATTGGGAAATTGCCCGCGGCAGGGGACTAATGGGTAGGATGAATGAATGAGCTTATTTCGTTTTCGTGAGTGTACACTGTGTTGTAAGATCTTAGTTTTCGAGAGGTTCCTGAGAGAGAGGGAGGGAAGGGGGGGGATGTTGAAGAGAGAGAGCAAGAAATGGAAGGGTGGATGGGGAGGAAAATGGAAATAAGGAAGTGGATGGGGATGGGGTGGGAAAGAGGAGGAGGGAATGGGAATGGTTATATATTCTCGAGCTGGGAAGTTTTTATCGAGGTCGAAACTGGGTACTACACAGATGCGCATTACGAGTAAGATGAAAATCATGCATAATATATGAAGAAATTTGAATTCTGAGATGTATGTGTATATGTATATACTTATCGAACAAAATCTTACAAAGCCACCAACGCCCCAGCTCCAGAAATTTAAAGACATTCCAAATGCTAACTGCTCTGGTAGTTAACCCATGTAGCCAGCCATTAATATGAATATTTCAAGGAGCCAAGTGAGTAAGTATTCTACAGAAAACCTCTTTCCATCTTCCTCTGTTTCCCTTTGCACTCCATACTCCGATTCCCTGCGCTTTATGCTCATCATGTTTGCTAAGTTGTCCTACACCAGCTTGTTTGTACTCAACATCTACTTTAATATGATGATTAACAAGACTAGTATAATGATCAAGATCAAAATAATAGTCATTTGCATATTATCTTTTGCTTTCCTCGCTACTGTTCCTAGATTCTTTCGCGCTTTGTTCAGTCTAGTTTGATGTCGATCCACATTTCTGTCTACCTCATCCAACATCTGTACATGCTCATCTAATTCGTCACCTATTTGTATACTGAGCTCTCTCTGTCTCCCAATGCTTTCCCCAAGTCTATCAAGTGCTTCATCTTGCTCGGCGAGAACTCGAGTGTGATATGTGTGAATTTGTTGGTTATCTAGATGGCTTTGATCGGGTGGACCGGAAGTGGGGTCATCGCGGTAGGGAAAGAGTGCTGCGCGGGAGGGGTCGTCGGCTCCTTGGATTGAGGGGGAGTCGCTGAAGCGGACTGATTTGGAAGATGGTGTGACGTTTGAGTTGCGCAGTGACTTCTTGAGGAAGGATGATGAGGATCCTACCCTCGGGCGTTCGGTTGCTCGGGCGAAGTCGTCGGATAGGGAGGGGTCATTGGGATGAGAGAGTGTTGACGAGGTACTGGAGGTAGGATGGCCTAGGAATTGGGATGCTAAATCGTCGTACTGGGATCGAAGGGTATTTTCAGTTTCTTTGAGAGTGAGGGATTGGCTGGAGACTTGTTAGTTTATGCGCAAGAGGATATGTGCTGCGCAAAACTTATAGGATGCGCAGATGTAGTTCAAGGTCGAATTGAAAGAATGTAATCAGACATATATGCCATTCTGGTGGGAATAAATAAATCCAACATACGATGTCTCCCCGGCTTCTTCCAATCGTATCGTCTCATTCCTTATATTCTCCAAGCCTTCACGTAAAGATTCTAATGATCGTGAAATATGACCATCTTGAGATGTTGGTTCCAAATTCAAGGAGATAGCACGTTGTCTTTCCAGCAATGATAGTTTTATGTGATCCGCAAGGAGGAAGTATTGACTTGGATTAGTCGCCATGATTTCGGGCTAGATAGTAGTATGATGATGGTGCCAGAGCTCGAAGCCTCGCAGGTTGGTGAAGTTGAATTGAGATCAAGGAAAGAAACTGTAGTAAAGGTATCAAATATTAGAATGAAAGAGAGTTTTGATTTGGATTATTCGATTGTTATTATTATTCTTGAAGATATTAACCACTGCAATAACTTAACTAGGTAATGCTCAGCTTAATGGTAAGCCAACCTTTTCATGGGCTACTTGTCTTTTGGTGTTAAACATCAAACGGTAGCCAAAGCTTCCTCATGATAGGACGATAGAATAGTATTTCCGATCCGATAGGTTACCGTGTTTTCCGGACCACCGGGGGCAGGTAAGCATCACGTGATTTAAGAACCAACCGTAATCTTATGACCAAAGATGCAAATCTCACAATCTTGGGCTTGAATCTCTTTGGGAAATGGAGGCAAAGTTGAAGATATTCCATTCTTTCAAACAACAACCACAACCACAACCACAACCACAGCAACAACAACTATCTACTTCTCTTACTGTGACCAAAGTCACCCCGTTCCACAGCGCTTGAGATTGGTATAGGGTTCTTTCACAAAATCTCTTTGCACTTGCAAGTTTTATATTCTTCCATTCCCTTGATACGCATCTCTTTTCCCGAATCTGGTCAAAAAATATAACAATCAATTGATACTTTACGCTTCTTTACTTTACTTTGCTTTGCTTTGCTTTCCATATTTCCCACAACACCAAATTCATGTGGTTCGTATTGTATCACCTTAAATCTAATTAATCCGACTTATTAGCATTTTGTTTTCATTTCAAAGACCTTCCTTTGCATCCGCATCCGCATCTGCATCTGCATCTCCAGTTCTCCATTGATCCATTTCCTGGGTGGTCCCCATTGGTAGCTGAGTCAACATGCCTCCACCAAACACTCCAACAAATGGAGCTGGTACACCTGTCTCACACATTTCTCGTCCAAATACTCCACCAAATAATATCTTCATATTTGAAGGTTACGATCCTGCTACAACTCACATTGGCTTTGCTTATTACCCACCTCAAAGCGAAGTTGCACCACCAGCTCTTCACGTACCAAATAATACTCCAGCCTCCAGCATTCACTCTTCGCCCGAAAATTCCTATCATCCACGTTCCCGTCGTCCGACTCTATTGGATCGAGGAATTATGGAAGTCATTGGAGAAGAAGAACGAGATCGACGCGATAAGGATACTATCGATTACCGTAGTGTTGACTACGTAAATCCACCCGATCAAAACCTCATTTGTCCAATTTGTCGCGTCCCTCTCGTCGATCCTGTCACGATTTATTGTGATCATACCTTTTGCAGAGATTGTATCACTCAAGCCTTGGCTGTTACAGAGAAATGTCCTATGGACCGTTATCCAATCTCTCGCAATGATCCACTACGTCAATCGAATAGAATTATCGTTCAACAAGTCAACGATTTGTTAATCGCTTGCCCAAGCTGCAAAACCCACCTTCAACGATCTAAGCTCCGTAACCATCTCGCCATCCATTGCAAGGAAGTTGAAATTGAATGTTTGGACCCTGATTGTAAGCAACTTGTCAAGAGACTTCATCAACCAAAAGGCTGTCTGCATTATGATTCTGCTTGTCCATACTGCGAGGAAATTTTGCAAGAGAGGAACATGGAAGATCACTGCGAGTTCAAGTGCACTTTCCGTGACGACAATTGTGGTCAATGCGGAGGGGATTTCTTACGCATCAAGGAATCTGAACATATTGATCAATGTCCAGAAGGTGTTGTCCAATGCCAATGGAGACAGTTTGGATGTGATCATGAGTGCAAGAGAAAGGATATTGATGACCATAAGGACAAATGCGAGCTCAGGAGATTGGGTCCGTGGGCAGCAATTATGAAGGCTGAGAATGAAGTCAAGAATGAGAAGATTGACCGCCTTGAACGTAAGATCAAGCATCTTGAGCATTGCCTCAATGATAATGGAAATTTCGACCGAACCGATGCAACTACCCCTTCTCTCGCAGGACTGTCGATCTCTGATGATTCCTACGAAACACCCAATACTTATCTTCTTTCCGTTGTCGAATCTCAACAAAGCAGAATTAATGCTCTTACTGCCAGCATCGCCGAGATGGAAGCTCGTCAAAGCGTCATGCTTCTCAACGAAACTATTCCATTGAAGGATCAAATTGTTGAGCTTCGCAATACTATGAGTACAATCAATATGTATGTCCGTTGGTTGTTGAATGTTCGTACACGAGAAGGTCAACGACGCAGCTTTGGTAACGGCGGTACTAGTGGTGGCGCAGGTGGTGGTAGCCTTGATGATAATGGAGGTGTTGGATCAAGTTCTGGTGGTAGTGGAATCGGAAGACGTCTTAGCGATAATAATCGAGAGGGTGGTACGAAGCTTTAGGTTTATGATGGAGTACATGGATGGATTAATGCATATGGAGTAAGGATGAGAAATGATTGATGATCAATGACACCTTATTGCAGTGCATGAAGGGATTGGGATGGTATGGTTTTTGATTTTTTGATTTTGATGCTAAAGATATCTGGATGGATGGCGTACTAATAATTATGTGTGACGTTCTTTTAATAACGGGAGTTTTTGGATTTCTTGTAATATTAGGGAGGGGTAGAAAGATGGGTAATGTGGGCATTTTTGGTTGGAGTTGGGGTGGAGGAGGTTGAAGAAGAAAAGACAAACTATTTACTGGCAGGCACCGGCGGATTGAGATGAGTTTCGGGCGGGATGACCAAACTTTCTTGAAGGCCATAGTACTTACTTGCTTGGCTGGCATATACCTCATAAGATAAATCGGTCTCAATATAAGATTAAAATACCATAAATACATTCCGATATGGCTATAGATAGTTTCTTGTGATGTGAATGGTTACGAATTTGTCCGAGTTCATGCTCTCACTAAACATTGATTTCAAACGTTTACAATTTACCTATATACCTACCACCCACCACCTACCATCTATCCTCTTGAAAGCTGAAACCTTCTCCTCCTCCTCCCCCTCCCCTTTCTTTCTATAAGCCCCCTGCCCCACATTCCGAACACCCCTTATTCCGACCATCTTTTTACATCAAAAATTATGATTTTTTATCTATTAATAACTTTTTTATTTATTGATATAATTATTTGAAATTTTAATTACAATTTTACTACTTATAGAACAATAAATTTTGAAAATTTCAGATTTTTGATGAATTTAATTGATCGAGATATCAAAAGTTGAAATTTGATTTTCAATTTGTGTATAAAATTATATATAAATTTAAAATAATAAAATATATAAATAAATTTTCAAATTTCAAATATTAATATCTCATTCAATAAAATTATTAAAAATCTAAGATTTTCAGGATTTACTATTATATAAGTGATAAACCTAGGATTCAATTTTTCTTTAATTATATTCATAAATAAAAAAGTTATAAAGGCCGATTTTTATGATTTTTGGTGTGAAAAGTGGTCGGAATGAGGGGGTGGTTGGAATGTGGGCTAGGGGACTTATACCTGTCAACTTGAAGAGATAAGATTATATAAACCTCCGTTTTAGGACAGCATAGCAAGTTAATTCGAAATTTGATTTGTAGTTTGATTCTTGAGAGGTTTATAGTTGTAGATATAAATAGATTTGAATATAGATATAAATATAAATAAATTTTTTTTTCTCTTTTCTCTGGGTAACTTTCTTTTTTTCTTCTGACCAGTTTTGGATTGCTGGTGATCGTTGAAGATGATCAATGACTATCTCACAACTTCCTGAGTAGAGTATTCTACACCTCGATCCTCGTCCAATGACCTCCCTACCCACTCAACGATAGAATACTGGAACTCACCTGACTGTCATCCTCACGGATCACTGCAGCGACTGTCGCGGCGCTACGGGTTCCATTCCCCCAAATTGGGTTTGTGTCCATGTTGTGATGGAATGATGGAATGTATTCTCGAACCTATTTTCTCCTCTCCTTCTTCCTTCTCCTTCTCCAAAACTCAAGAAATCTGATATTCTGTGACCAAAATCTTCTATACTAACCCGGAACCTGATTCCCGCCATCTTAAATTCTTTAAAATCTTCTGATCGATCTACTCGTTTTTTCCGTGGAAGCTGTGGTACAAATCTTACTTATTTGATTAATCTGAAGCTGTCTAGGAATGGCTGGATATGTTTGATGTTTTTTTTGTGGATGATATAAAGAGAGGATTTGGAGGGGGAGTGGATGGTGCTGGATAGACATGTGAGTGCAGCGATTTTTTTTGTGGGGGAGGGTTTTTGATTTGAGGATTTGAGGAGAAGATGCTAATGTAACTGATGTTGTGGTGTTGGGTGAGTAAGGGATACCGTTGATTGGGAGATTGACGAATGAGATTAAGGAGATACCAAGACATGAGACTTTTAGATTGAATGGGGAGGTGCCTAACCTAAGGAAGAATGAGATATTTGAGGAGCGAGAGGTAGAGAAAGGGAAGATAGCTGAGGGAAGAAACAGGAAAGATCCGGCTAGATGCATTGATGGATTGGTAACTGATTTTGAGAGATGCTGGAGCAGATGTTCGTTGCACATCGGTGCATCTGGCTAGGGATGATTTCTTTGAACGGATGAAGAACTTGAATAGAAATTACAGATTTGAAAGATGAACTAGATCTCTTCTTGCTATTGCAATCGAGTGGCGATTGCTGGAATTCAACTTTCAATCAGATCCTAATCTTTCAAAGTGGTCAGCTCGGGAGACATGCTTTATGTGATTTCGAGGTGGAAATGCTGGAAGGTCGTTGGCCAGATTCCATTCTTGTAAGTAGAGAAAGACCATGGTGCTTGTGTTTTTTATGGATTCATTACTCTGAAATGCGTGCAAGTCCGGCATTGCCTCTCAACACAGGTGGTTACAGCATCTTCATGAATCGTTTCCAGAAAGAATGATGAAAATGTTTGAAATGCCAAATCTCAGAAGAATTGAGCGATGTTCGGTTCATGAAGGATTAAAATCCTTCTAAGCACAGTTGCAACCTCTGCTTCCCATTTCCCAGCTTCCTTTTCGACGTCAATTTTACTTCATCGCCCCATAACCCACACATTTTCCTTCCCTACTCACGAACCCCAATTTCATATGAATAGCACCTCTTCTCAACATATAATTTGTCCACTTTCACCCTGTTCTCACCGTCGTTGAGCCACCACCTGTCGCGCATAAGAATTAGACGATGTGTTATGATCCGTCCCTGCTCAAGGGAAACAAATCATTTACGTCGTGCCTCTCATTATTTTTGGTTCCCTATTCCCTGACAGATCTGAGGAAAATCTTCGTTGTACATCTCGCTGTTGCCTGGAACTCGAAGAAATGTACAATAATGATAACGGAAGAGGGGTGGGATGGTTGGATAAAAGAATGGGTACTGTGGAATCTTGTGGTTGAAGATCCCAAAATAAATATTCTCTATGAAAGTTAAGCCGCTTGTTCTTGCGCCGCCAAGTAGATGTTGTTACTAGCGGTGTACCGTCTAATTCATCAGTAAAACTCACACTAAACCCCTTTTAAGAAGAAAATCGATGATGGATTCAAATCCGAGTGTTTTTTTTTTCAATCTCATATTGGAATATCTAAAATCCCGATATCTCAAATTAGTCCTAAATTTGGTCGGGAATTTGAAGACTCCGAGCAGTCGTATCTCTTCTTAAAGGGGTTAAGTGCGTGTTCTTACTATGAATTTATACGCCATTTATTATACAGATAAAGGAGAGAGATTCATTTAAACTTTATCCACAGGCAATATCCTAGTTTTAAAACGTGGTGTGGGAACAAACTGTATTTCTGATATACAGTTAGTGGAGTAGCAATGAAGGCAGATTTTTAGAGGCCGGGGCCGATGGGCTAAAGTTAAGGAGTGGGATCACTAAATTTTGAGAAATGGGGTTTGATATAAGTTAGTTAGGGCTACGATTTTCGAAGGATGAGAGGATCATCGTCTTTAGTGGGACATTCTCTAGGTATTTGATAGTATTCGCATCATAAACCTGTGCTGTTGTGCTGTTGTGCTGACTGTATTCCTTCTCCTACCTACCCTGAAATCGAAATCACCTCGAATTCTGGGGAGGCGGTGTTGTTATTTTGTTGAACCTGGTCGAAGGATTCCAAAAATATCCCTAAAAAGTTAAGCCTTACGGGGCTTGTAGGACAACGTGGATTGCCATACAGGATAAGTAAGCGTTGCCAACCAGGGGCCATTTGACTGCATGGATATCTTTGGCAACTAAGTGGTATTGTACGAAGTGCATGAAATAGGTCTCAGATTTAGGAGGAAAGCAACAACAAAGAGTCTGCCGTTGAACCCGTTACAATGTGAATGTACTAAATAGAAAGAAGATGGGATTGTGGTGGGAATAGACCCATGTGGATGAAGTGGGTGAAGCGGATCACGTGTTCCGTCATTTAAGCTACTATCGAGCTAAACAGAGATCACATACAACGCCAACACTTTTTGGTGTTTTGTGTTGTTTGTTTGTATGTTTGTTGGCTCAAGGTAACAGTCTTCAATGGCTGCTTCATCCCGATACGTCCATTCGTACATCTCTTTTACAGCTCAATTAACTCTCGTATACTATGTAAGACCTTACCAACAACAATGTGCACGGGATCCACAATTCGATAACCGTTATTACCTACTGTAATATATGTAAAACTACACACTCAGCCGGCCAGAATAGAACGATGCGGAGTCAACCCCTTGATATAAATGGATCCATCTGTGAATATGCGGCGTAGAAGATATGTAAGCGGGGCTTTGGGTTCTGGAAACCAATATAGAGCCTTAACCACAGCCTTCAATCTCACTATTCACGTAAAGATACTTTGAAGTGAGCAGGGGAGATGGGTCGACAATAAGTATAATCCTCGTCTACATCCAGACAAGATGAACTTTTCCTTATTTTGTTTTTGATATCTTCTTACTTGCACCTTTTGCAAGAGATCAAAGTTTGTATAATATAGTAAGTACTAAGTAGCGATGGTGGCGCCAACGACAAATTCCACCTGTTTATCTGGTGGGCAACCAGTAACTATTCAGAATGCAACTTCGTGGAATGATATTGGATGTCCAAAGGGGTTTTACTGTGAGTAAAAGAACAAACTCAGCAGGCCAATTGGTGCAAGAAAGAACTAATGTCATTTCTCCTCGTAGGTCCAAATAATAATGCGACATTTCTTCCACAATATTGCCCTCCAAATCCTGTTTGTCAAGGATTGAGGTTAGCAGGAGGATCATGTATACCAACCATGGGAACTTTCGAACCCTCAATTTGTGAAGCCGGATATTTTTGCCCTCCACCAGGAAAGGAACAAATACCATGTCCCGAGGGATCTTACTGTCGCCAAGGATCATATGAAGCAACCAAATGTGCAATTGGCTCGAGATGTCCGGAGAAAAGTATCAGAGACATGAACGTTACTCCTTTGGCTGTCTTGATAATTGTGGATGTGTTTATGGTGCTTGCGGCACTTGGCATAGGTTTGAAGCGGAAATTCAGCAGTAGGGTTCAGAATAGCTCGAAGGAGAAGAGATCGAATAGGACCACATTCACAAAACCTGGCATGTTTCGAGGAAAAGAATATTCTCAAATCCATGACGAGCAACTACAATTAGCGCGAGAACAAAGTGATATTGCTATGGAAGAGAGGATCATGAATCTTCAAAGGCGGCCTACAGGATTTGAGGAGTTGGGTAACATGGATGACGAATTTGCATATGACGGTGAAGATGCGGGAGAAGAGCAAGTCATGAACACTGATTTGCAATTATTTGTGCAATCTTTGTCGAAATGCTTCGGAGGATCTAAATTTGGATTGTCATTTGAATTCGAGGATTTGAAATTTCATCCACCAAAGACAAAGAAACCTATTCTTTCACAAGTCTCGGGTTTGATTGATGCTGGGAGTTTGTGGGGAGTAATGGGTGCTTCGGGAGCCGGAAAATGTAACACTCATCTATTTGCCCCCTCTTCACCTCCAAAGCTAACGAGTAATAGCTACCTTTGTAAATGTTCTCATGGGTAAAACGAAAAATACTGGAGGAGTTACCAAAGTCAATGGAGTTGCTGGTGATATCGCAAAGTAAGTTTAATTATGGTGTATCTGCCGACCAATTCTTGAAACGAGCTAACAATCACAGGTATAAGAAAATCATTGGCTATGTTCCCCAAGATGATATCGTTCTACCTGAGCTTACTGTTCGGGAAAATATCCTTCATTCTGCTCGAATCAGATTACCATGTACATGGAAGGAGGGCGAAATTCAGCACCATGTTGATGTATTACTTGCTTGTCTTCAGCTTTCCCACGTAAAAGATTCTTTGGTAGGTAGTACTGCTGCTCCTGTCATTTCAGGTGGTCAAAGAAAAAGAGTTAGTATTGGTATGGAGTTAGCAGCTGCACCTATGTAAGTTTTCACTCCAAAATGTCTGCCGTCTCTTGACTTACATTATTGCTAGGGCTCTTTTTCTTGACGAACCTACTTCTGGTCTGGATGCCACAGCTGCCAATTCTATCATGAAAACCCTCAAAGCTCTCTCACGACTTGGTATGACAATTGTAACTATTATTCATCAACCACGTCAAGAAATTTTCGAGTCTCTTGACAGTCTCGTACTCCTCGGTGCAGGACGAATGATTTACCTAGGACCTCAAGTAGGTGTAAAGCCCCACTTCGAAAGTCTTGGTTTCAAATTCCCCGAACATGGAAATCCTTCTGATGTCATGGGTGATATTATTGCCGGTGAAGGACGTCTGTACAAACCTATTGGAGATGCTAGTATCCAACCTCTTATCGAACATTGGCAAAATCATCCCGATGACCCATTCGAGGATGTCAAAGGTCCTGGTGTTTCTATGGCGGAATCCAACGCTCTTTCTTCAACAATCAAATCTCGTGGTACATACTGGTATCGACAAATTTGGTTCTGCTTCCAACGTTCTGTGCTTCAACAATATCGTATGAAATCATCCTTTTTCTTCGAGCTTGGTGTCGGCGCCATTTCAGGTTTCTTGATCGGTCTCGCAGAACTCAACCAGAAGGGTGAAAATTTCCGTGGTATATTTATTGAACCATATGAGATGCTCTCTTCTTCAATTGATTACAGTTCCGTTCCCCAGATGGCACTTCTCGTTGGCCTCGCTATTGGTCTTACAGCATCCGCACCAGGAGTAAAAGTCTTTGGTGAGGAAAAGTTGGTTTACTGGAGAGAAGCTGCCGCTGGACATAATCGCTTTGCTTATTATGTCGGAAAAGTCATCTCGACGATTCCTCGTATGATTCTTGCCAACTTCCACTTCACAGTTTTCTTCGCTTTGATGACAACACCAATAATCAGCTGGATTGACATTTTCGCCGCTAACCTCCTTTATTTCTGGTGTATATACGGTCTTGCATCCTGCGTCAGCATGATTACCCGCCGTGAAGACGGACCACTTCTAGCAGTCATGTCATCTCTCATCGTCGGTGTCCTCAATGGTATGTCCCCCAGTCTAAAGAAAGTCAGGGGTTGGCATATGGCATGGCTCTGGAGAGCAAGTCCAGGTACATGGTTAGCGGAAGGATATTTTACACAAAATATTAGTCCCATGGAGTATCTATATGATATCGAAACGGCAAAGAATGCGGTAGGGTACCGATTAGGTCATTTTCAACAGGATATGTTGATGCTTTTGGCATTGGGGGCGATATATAGAGTTTTTGCGTTTGTGGGGTTGAGGGGTATGTATAGGCATAAACAAAGGTAGTGAGCTGACGGAAGAGGAAGTTGCGAGGATAAAAAAGTGTAGATATGGGAAATGATTATGGATTGTTTATTTTTTGGATGCAAGGATGCAAGGATGGGTATGGATACATATTTTGTCGGTATACTAGAGTACTAGAACGATGGGAATATTAGAATCTAGCTCCATATAGCGTGGCGTAAATGCAAATACTGATATTATGAGTAGCATCTTATTCGAAAATGTTGTGACTCGTGATGGATTTCAGATTTATGCGTCAACAGGGAATATTTTCGACTAATATTTCATATTTTTTCTTTGAGGGATATTTACCAGGTAGTCCTAGATGTATATTCTCAAAATCTTTTCTATATACTTCTTGTAAGATTATATGTTCTTGAGTAGTCATTATTTATATTATATTTCTCATTATTATCAGTACTACTATATCATTTTCATCTTTATAAAATATTATTTATTATTTATTATTTATTATTTATTATTTATTATTTATTATTTATTATTTATTATTTATTATTTATTATTTATTATTTATTATTTATTATTTATTATTTATTATTTATTATTTATTATTTATTATTTATTATTTATTATTTATTATTTATTATTTATTATTTATTATTTATTATTTATTATTTATTATTTATTATTTATTATTTATTATCTATTATCTATTATCTATTATCTGAGGAGCCCCCTCTAATGCTTAACTATAGTTCTAGCAGGTACAGCCAGCTAAATATGAACACTACGGCGGAAATTTCTTCTAAAAGAAGAAGATGAGCTGTAGAATTAGAGAGGTATTGTTTTATTAAAAGACGCCCTCATATCTCTAGTTTTGGATTTATTAAAGGATGGGCGATTTGTGAGATTTTTGAGGTTAGGCGGTTTATACTCCGTATAGGGAGTTTGGGTGGTTTTGTGGGGAGAATCTCAAAGATAGGGGGAAGGGCTATGTATATGAATGAATATTGTGATTTCGGAAATTGGTGGAGGTGATGGAGTGATAGAGTGATAGGTTAGGATGTTGTGGATTCTTAATATTGTGCTATTTAAAGGATGCTGAGAACATAGGGTCTTTACTGTAATTAAATGGCGCAAAGCAAACAACTGACGAGAGGGAGAGAAGCCCAAGAAGTTCCTGCTCTCGAGTAGCTGAAATTTCGACCGAGGAAATTATAAAATGATATCCCGGGGCAGGTGTGTAAATGCGTGAGCTGATAGTCTTTGGTGTTTCGTCCTAGATATGCGTTATGGCTGTCGACTATGTACTTTTGAATTTCTTTATCCTCGAATTTAGAGACGATTTATTATCAATTGTATATACAACCCTATCTATTTTCCTACAATAAAAGCTCAATTCAATATTAACCACGTCACCCACTTTGTTTCCAGTCTAAGAGGGGATAAGGTCATGGTTTCTGAGCTCCTCAACCTTAATTCAATTACAATGTAGTATTGCTTATTTTTCATATTATAACACTTTATGAAGGCTAATTTAATATTTATAGATCGTAGAAGCGAGTTGGAGGATGAATTTTCAATGAGAAGTGTAGTGTATGTGCTAACTGCTTGTTACTTGTCCCTCTCTCCGGACAAACGATGTAGTGACCTTTTTCCAAAATCTGAAACTTCACTTCCCACCACAGTGAACCTAGCGAAGTTCTAGAACTACTAGTTATCCATATATATAAAAGGAAAATCTTAACCTTGTAATTATGTTTTGATAATACATTCAATACTATGATTGTACATATTCAAGTCTCCGACGACCTATCTAGCGAAATATGAAGATGAATATCTACTCCGCTTTTGGTTTCAAGAATGAAATGCTTTGCATGCTTCATGAGATTTGAGACTCTGATTGAATGATGTTATTTCGATGGATTATTGTTGTGGTTGTATCACACTTGTTTTTCTAGCATTTATTAGCACTTGGTATGTATTATTTTCTACCTCATTTCATCCCACCGCAAGGACCTCTACTTCTTTGACTTGGTTTTCTATTCAAATAGTGTACCAGCTGGGTAACGAGAGATGTGAAGGCGCAACTAGTGGATTTTTGTACTATCTGATTGATTACTTCTAACATATGCAAGGTAATGAATGTTGTGGAGGATTCGGAGTCTTCGTCTACCAGCGTGGTATTTTTCATACACTGGGATGAATCTCTAGCCGAGAATAGAAAATTTGTGGTTTGTGAGTATAGTAAAGCAAAATATAGACTGCACATGAATTTAAGAAGTTGATTGAATCATTCACTTATTGCTAGGGGGCTGGCGAGATCATCGGGAGCCAGCCAATTTTCACATTTCTCGTCTATTTGAACTAGCAGAACTTGGTAGAATGGTAAAAGCGGAAATCGGGATGATGAGGAAATTTTTTTTTGAAAGATTTCTCGTGCCAGTGTGATTTTCATTCTATGTGTCGTTGTGGAAATTTCAATGTCTTGCTCCTGCATGTAAGTCTTGATATATAGAGATTGTGTCTGGGTCGAGTTTAGTTGGGTATTAACACGAAAAAGACAGAACAATACAAAACTGGCAGCAATTAATCAATAGACCGACAGTGAAAATAAAAATATTAGTTGAAGAAGAATCCTCTGACTTGACAAAAGGGAGGCTGATTAGCTCAGTTTTCGCTTGTTTGGTATTCATTTAGCTAGAGAGCGGATTTCTGCAATGGAGACGTCGAGTCAAAATCTTATGTTGTCTTTGTATCTTTGTAATATCTTCATTTTTTATTAGATCGGTGCTGGGACTTTTTATAGAGGCAAGAAATATATGAAATGAGCTGGAGCGAAAAGGCACCACTCTTTTGCGCCGGGTTAGTGAAGATTCGAATCTATGTCCGGAACGTGAATCGTGGGCCTTGCTTTGGTTTCTGGGCACCATTTAAGAGACTACTACAGGGCCCTGGACATGGTTAATAAAAGTATTTCATATAGCCCGAATGGAAGGAATTTATGGAAGTGCGTTCTGCTCTGGCCGTGGATAGATAAAGGAAAATCGGAAATTGAGTTATGCCACTGGAATAGAAATTAGGGTTAGGATTTGAGAAATTGTTTGTAGTGGTATAAAACTTCAATCATTGTCAGTGTGAAATAATTGATGTGTATTGTCCCTTTTAATATTTTTAGGGTCGTCTATTTCTGTAAGACAATTCGGCACGGAGCCCAGAAGTTGTATCTTGTAGTCTGTGACTCTTACACATGAGTAGATATAAGGAATCAAGATCACGGTAAAGAATTTGTAGTAAAGTAATATTTTCTTATATTGTGAGAAAGTTGAAATTATAAATCAAATACATAAAGGTTTTTAATTAATCAATCACATAACTTTTTATAATTAGATATAAAAAAAGAACTTTTGTTTCTTCTTTTGAGAATAATCAATCTTTTATATATATACATTTGAATCTATATAATGTCAACCTCAAAACTATTGTGAACTTTGTTTTCTTTATAAATGATGTATTACAATACAATCTAATTCAGCTTTCTCTTCCAATTCCCTCCTTACAGTATGCTATCGGGACGCACGTATCTCGACCTATCACTTTTACAATATCCTTTAGAACATCATGACTTTAATTTCATGATAATCGTTTTGCAATGGCAGATTATTTGTATCAATGATAAGTAGAGCAAGGTTCTGTAACCTTGGAGCCAGTTGATACTCTTCCTCTATATCTACAACACTATCTTTCACTAGAACGGTTATTCTCTCCGTGTTCTCTCCTGCCACCACCCACTTCCTTATATCTTTCCTCCACTACGAACTGTCACTATCACTATCATTGGCTCTTCTCACTTTGCTTCACATGTGCGTCGCTAATCTCTCAGCCTCTCCCCTTTTATATTTGCCTACCGTCCCTTGCGTTGAAATATTTTCTTCCACCCATCCAGCTGCTTGCGGCTCCTTGTCTCTCCTCTGCAAAAATAGCTCCATACCATCACTACCTTCTATCATCTCTCATAAATTCCCCGCTATTCCCTCATGTGATTTCCGAGTCTCCCTCTCCTTTACATACACACCAACACATACTAACACATCATACATAGTTCCAGCCACACTTTCACTTCCAATTCTCAGACATCTGCCGCCAAACAAGCTCAACTCTCAACCAGCCGCATCCAAGCCTACATCAACAACACCGACCACTCTACCACCCATGCATCACCCACCAAAGCTCACATCAACAGCACAGACCATTCTAACACTCATACCACTCAAGTCACTCAAGCCTACACCATTGATCAAGCATCAGTCACCCTACACTATACATTCGCCGCTACAAACAACATCGAGAACTCTGATGCAAGCTTACATGGCAGTGCTTTTAATGGTCGTGGAAGCTAGGATAGCACTCGTCGGAAAGCTCTACCGACTTCAGTGATGAGAGGCGATAACGAATGCCTTGATGACTCGCGAACGAGTCGGTAGAAGGGCTGGGTTTAAGGTCAAGGATATGGAGGGAAGAATGGAACAGGATAAGAATGATAGAAAGGCACGACTAGATGATGAAGGACGCATGATAGAGTCAATAGACCGTTCAAAATGTTGATATAAGTATATGAAGTTGAGTTGGCGAATAGAAGTTCAATTAAAATTTTAATTGAACATTACATCACAACCGCGCAACGTGACAGCATGACATCGTGACACCGTGACACTTCATTGTTGTGTTTTCTACCAGTGCAATACAGCAAAGTGGTATAACGAGAACTCGGCAAGACTGTTTTTCCCCGGCTCTTTATTTAAACTTAAAACGCCTAATCGACAGAAGGAAAAGAAAAACCAAGAGCCAATAATGTCTTGAATTAACATACTCACTCATATAGATCAAAGCTACTTGATATCAGAAGACTTTACATAACTAATATATAAAGAAAAGCGAAACATCCACCAATCTACCGTTATTTTTCTTCACATCAATATCAAGGTTTTGCTAACCCTGCACATCCAATGGGCTTTTAAATCTCAACCCACTTTATCTCCCCTACATTTCGCTTCCTCTTAACTTTACACTTCGCTAGCAATATCCAGCAAAAACACACTACTCGACCATTCACCTAAGCACCAATCGTTCTCAACGTGTCATTCTATATACAAGTTGAGCATCACTCTTTTTTATTATAGTTTTGTCTTTATAATAATTATATCATCTACTAGAACTATACTATCATTTTCATTTTTATACTTTATTTAATTTTATTATTGACTTGTCGATATTATAATCTTGTTGTATACAAGGTTTATTTAATAAGTAATAAAAAATAAAAAACACATTTAAGTGAGTCGCGATCCTGACAATCTGATTGGTCTAAAATACCCCGGTAAATAAATCTAACAAAAAACTTAACGTAAGCTTTATAACCTTAAACAAATCTGATTTGAAAAAATTTTCAACTTTATTGAAATCATTTAACTTATTTAATTTAATTTTATTCAACTCAAAATAATAATAATAATAATAATAATTATTTTTTAAATAAAAAAATTTAATTTTCAATTATCAAAAACAAGTTGATATTCTATATACACTCTAATATATATTTAATATTTAAATTAAAATGTTCTTAAACTTGAAAATAAAGATAATTTTCATTTAATTAATTGTTTTTAATTATTATTTTAATCGAAAAAATATCAATATAAAGTATATATTTAATATAATAATAATTAAAATTATATAATTATATAATTTTATAACTTTTATTATTTAATTATTTAAAAAATTAAACAAATCTAATATATTTATTATTGACACAATAGGTTTTTACACTTTTATACTACTCCATTGACTTTTTTTAAAGTTGGATCGGGTCGTGCTTGAATCTTGATTGGTTATTTATTTTACACTTCTAGTTTGAGTGAATAAATAAAGAGTAACTTGTAATCATTCATTATTGAGATAGTAATCAAAGCAACTGTAGGGAATAATTCACCTGCTACCAACACTAAAGCTATCCACTCTCCTGTAACTTTATCTCTAGTCTTATGTCCAATATAAAAGTCGGTGCACTGACAGAACCTGATCTACAACACTAAAAACCTTTCTGGTTGTTCAGTTCGAGGAGTTCTGGAGTTTTGGGGAGCTATATTTATTGTATAGAGAAAAATTTAACAAGCAGGGAAGGATAAATAGGGCGTTGTGTACATACCGTTTTTTATTTTTCCAATTATTAGACTTGTTAAGTTGTTACCAACGATTTCGTTCTATTGTATTCTGGTTATGACTGACAATCAAATTACTCTCAAAGAATCGACAATCAAAGAAACAATTTAATAATTATCTGCTGATCTGAAATTGTATCTTAGCTAGCTTCCTTGGGATTTCATCAATCCCTTGAGGTAGGTATTGAAGGTAATAATGAAGTAAAGTGAAAAAGAGTCGGCAACATTCGAGGTTCTCCTCGATTCAAAACCAGCCTGCCTAGCACTGTTCCCTTAAGCTACACTCTCCGTGCCTTTTATAAACCTAAAAGGTATGTCACTACATTCAGGACTCGTGATCACCGAATTCAGGAGAATCACATTCACTCAAGAATCAACCATTGAAATCCACAAAAGTGGCACTGTGAGATTTGTTTTTCAAGCCTACCGAAAAGGTATTTAAAGCTCCATTTACGGCTCCCTAGCCAGTACTCTAGAGCAGAAATTAATCACTTATTTTTGAGATCTCTCATTAAGAGGAAGACAGCTCCCGAAACAGGCTGGTTCCAAAATTATCTGAATCAAGGAATGTGCTTTAGTTGATTGGTCTAGGTAGACAAACATATAAACATATTCCCAAGACCGAGTTGTATGAAGCACTCTTGAATCACCTGGTCCAATTTAAAGACTTAGTTAATAGCGAACATTGAGGACGTCGCTTTAGTCTAAGCGACCTGCTTTTAACAACACATGTTTTAACATTCGCACATTTGATACTGATGAACAGACAGCGGATCACTTCATCTAACATGACGCCATCTGTCCACTTTCGATCAAACATACTATAGACGTGCTATCACGTTTATTAGAAGTTCACTGTTAATCAAATGAACAGTTTGAGCGAAAACAGAAGTAGCAAAAGAGACAGTGGAATTGGTTTTGCCTGTTAAATATATGAATGTTTGTTGGTGGTTATAAGAACTCCATATCATCGAATCAATGAATAGATTTATGCATTGGTACACTAATTTCACATTTATGTCCTCTTGTAGGTCCATAAATTTTTTTATTGAGATCATGATAGGGTTCAAGAACTTTTAAATATACAGAAAGATGAAAATCGAGATAATGAGGTGTATGTACTCACTATAACGGAAAATAAAAAAGAAATAAGACTTACAACTGTGCATCTATCAAGAAAGGCACTCGAGGAGATAAGAAGGAATTGTGAAATAAATCTATACTTAAGACTATTTAAGTTTGTCTTTCTTATTTCTAAAGCTAATCAAAAAACTACAAAATAATTTCAATTTCAATAATAAAAAATTAGTTGTATTGAGTTTTTATACAGATTCATAGTCTGATAAGTTATATAATTAATTAATTACAAATAATAAAAAGATAATAAAATTAAAATTAATATAATTATTATATAATAATAATAATAATAATAATAATAATAATAATAATAATAATAATAATAATAATAATAATAATAATAATAATAATAATAATAATAATAATAATAATAATAATAATAATAATAATAATAATAATAATAATAATAATAATAATAATAATAATAATAATAATAATAATAATAATAATAATAATAATAATACACTTAAGTTATCTCTTTCAAAAATCTCTTTATAATATCGATATTTGATTATATGATATTTCAAAAATAAAAAATAATAAAGTAATCTTTCGATTGATATTTGCATTTATTAGTTTTGAACTGTTGTGTATTATGAACTATTAAAGAGAGAGTTATATATGTTATTAGATAATAAATTAAAGAAGATTTTAGATATTTGTAAGTGAATAAGTAGATAATTGAATAATCGAACAGATAAAGCCTCTTCTTATCCTGAATCTCCCTCACATATAAAACACCCTCTCAACTCCGTCTCTAAAACTGTAAAGGGCATAGTACAGTCGACCACAATTGTCAAAGAGAAATAACTAGCTGGTATTCTAAGAAGACAAGTATCTACTATTTTGAATTTCGATTGTGTTAAATAAGATTATTAGTCTGTAGCTACAACTAACATAGTGCATAGTGGATGTGAGAATTGACTAGATTGGAAATTTAATAATAATGATACGGGTAATGATAATAAATAGATATAATTACAAGTGATAGCAATACACAATGTGTTACACTATCAGATTCTTTAAGGCTCCGTTGTTCCTGAAGCTAATTGATATGCACATGTTATCCAGAAGAACATCTCCCATCCAATCTAATCCTAGACCTTCGTTTCACCCACAAGAAAGATTAGTTAAGAAGAAAGTGAGTTATAATTAGAATCAAGGACTTATATAACAGCCTCTCCAGTTCCTCTTCTCTTCCTTTCAAAAGACTCCGCCGAGAACTCTTTAAAGCTTTATTTAACAACATAATGTAATTCCCTATTCACTTTTTTAACTCACCCTCTTTCTCCTCGATACTCGATACCCTTTCATATTGTATCACTGTATGTGTGTTCATTACAACTCCTAACGCATCCATTTACCTAGGTATATACACCTCACTACAGTATAAAACGCCTCCTCTTCCCCGTTACCCAGAGTAAAGAACTCAGAACTCACAGATCGGACAATCAAAAGGTTCTTTCCTCCAACTTCAAGAACCTCGCCAACCGAGGCCCGCAGTGAAAATAGCTGCACATTACACTCATAGACTCACCACAGGTTGCCCACAAGTCCGTCAGATAGAGAAGATAAAGCTGAGGGTTTTTGATAATTTTAATATTGTTGATTATAATATAATTTTAAAAGAATTATAATAATAACATTAATACTAACGATAGTAATATTATATAATAAACAACATCAATCAAAAATCAATAACAATAAGATTAAAATAATTCTCGTTTTAAGATTTTTTTTTTCAAAAAAACACTCTCAATCTTGTCTCCTGTAATACTTTTAAATCCTACGATTCATAATCCACAATCCACAAATATACAAAAACCCAACTCTCTGTTGGTTATCATATAGTACCTTTTCACCTCCGATACTTTCTTTACTCTCGAGGGAAGATATTTAAATAGGTACCTAGATACATAGCGGCCCTCTATAGACAATCGGATACATAGTGAATAATGAACCGGAACACGAACTCGAAAGCTATTCTAGAATTGATTTTTCTATTTCATATATATATTCTATACGCATTATTTTTCTTTTTCCTCTGGTCTTTTTTAATATATATATATATATATATTAAATTCCCGACTTTCATTGTTATACTCTTTTATTCACATACTATTTTTCTTAATCAAAGTTCAAGCGAAGTAGAGAAAAAGTACTCGTATAGTATAAGATCAAGGGTTAGTACTCAGAAAAAGTGTTTGAGAGGCCATGGAAGTAGATTTGAAATTATACACTTATTCACAAAGGTTAGAATATGATAAGATTAGTTAGAATTTCTTATGGATTTATTTTTTAAGTCATTATGCCTCTTTTGATATATACTATATACAAACAGATATCAGGCGCCGAAAAATATAAAACACAGAATGGGAATTGTAAAGCTCAAGCGCTAGTATGCTTAAAAGACCCAAACAAGTCGCAACGGACTAAAACGTGGTATCATACTCCACCAACGCCATACCATACAACCCAAAATAACAACCCATCGTCTACCAATCAATCTCCAGATTTATCTCCCTCCTTTCCCATAATTTCCTTTTTCATTTCCTGCCCCCGCACAACATTCCTATCCTCCTCATCACATCTCTCTACATCCTCCCTCCTCACCCTCTCCAATTCCCCCTCCAAAGTCCTACACAACCTCTCCAAAACCCACTCACACTCCTCCTTATTCCCCATCAACGGACTTCTATTTCCCACCCAACTCCACTTCTCCCCTATATCTTCACCCTCCCCCTTCGCACCCCCTAGCTCTTTCCCATTCTCCGGTTTCCTAACAGCTCTTCTATGATTACCAGCTTCGCTCTCATCGTCTCCTATTAGTTTGAGATACCATGCCCATTCATCGAAGGTGTATTTTCTCGGTGGGGAACTATTGAGATGTTTCATCACTTTTCCGATTTCTTTGATGAGTATACAATGATACTCATGAAGATTTTCAGGCAAGCTATCATTTTCCTCTGCTTGTTTTCTTGCGATTCTAGTTTCGATATCTGCTCGGTCACCTTGAACACGCTGAGCTGCTGATTCCGGATCATTTTTTGCCGACTCATGTCCAGTAGTTTTGCCAGAATTGTGAGGGACTGCTGCTCCATCAATACCGGGAGGTAGTTTGGATACCTCAAATAGTTTTCCAAATGTCAATTTATTTATCGTCTCTTTGAGGGAATGTCGCACCCCTTTTTCACCGGGTAAAATAGTAGAGTTTCCTATCCAAAGAGTAAAATCACGAATCCCCTTGATAATTGTGTCGCCCATATTGCTGATAAGAATTGTAAGAGATGGAACCGCGAGAAGAGACCAGAAAACGAAAAATGGTTTTCCAGAATTAGATTGTGGATAATAATCACCATATCCAATGGTTAGAAGAGATGTGTAGGAAAAGTAAAGGGATTCGAAATAACTCCAATTTTGTGTATACTCCGTGGCTCGAAATATTGCTGCACCGATAAACCAAAGTATAAACCAGGTAGTTCCAGAAATGATTAAAGAAGTCCAACGACGTTTTGTAGCTGCCTCTTCTTGAATTTGTCTCATTAATTCGAATTCTTGTTGACGTCTTTCTCTTTCCGTAAGACCATCATTATTAATAAGGGTGTTGTTTGATTCGGACTCGGCTGTTTCGACAGGCTTCAAGAGTGCGATGTTTTTCTTCTGGGTTTTCTTTAAAATACGTCTCCTTTCTTTTTCAATCATTCTTGCTCCTAGTTTAACCTTCCCACGGTCTAACACTAGCGATCGAATCGAGCCAATAACCAAACCCAAAATGATGATACCACCGATTGCGAAAGGAAATAAGAGACTTCTTCCTAAATGTGTCATTGGTGCATAATCTCCAATACCAACTGTTAAAAGTGTAAAATCACACCAATAAACAGCATCAAGATATTGCCATGATTCGATATGGGCAAATATCGCCGCACCAGCAAGTAAATATACTAGAAAACTGATTGTTTGTAACATCAAAGTTCTTTGACTCATGGTCAATTTAAACTCCTTTGGATAATGTCCTTTATGTGCTCCATATACTGTAATCGTCATTAAACTAGCCACCAAGAAATAAAGACCGGCAGAAAATATCGCATAATAGAATGCCTGTGTATAGGCGTGAGCAGCAAGTGGCTGGAGTATCAACGGCCCAGAAGCACAAGCTGTCAAAGCGATTAATGAAAAAGATGATAGGTACCAGCCTATAATCGTAATAGGTTGTGCAATCGAGAACCGAACTCTTTCTGCCATATTTAAGAGGAGGAATAGATTCGAAATGAGTGCTATTGCTAACTGTGCTGCATTTATTCCGATCAACCTGATTTAGAGTCAACATAATTTCCACAAAAAGTGTACGATGCGCATACCATTTCGGGTCCTCGATGTAAATTCCATGCTCTTCTGCTCCCTCTGGTGGTATCGACACCCTCCAACGTACAACTAATGCACAAATACTAAATGCTGAGGCCATAGGTCCAAATGTGCCGGCTATGAGAGGAAATGCGGTACTAGCAAACCACCAACGACTAGGGGAGTGATTTAGTAAAGTGCGCCATTCTAAATTAAATAGCAATATCTGCAGGACTTTCCCTTTTACGTACCTTGGGTTGAGAAACGCATCTTCATCTTCCTTAGTTTCATCTCTCTCATCACGATGCTGATTCTCTACATCATCGGCATCGTTGGAGATGGGTTCATCGAGACCTGGATCGTTCATTTTGCAAAGAGTACGAGAAGATTAATGGAATGCCATATATATAATGGCAGATGAGAGTTATATATCAAAACATGGTGCAGAAATAATAGTTGATTGAAAAGTATATTTTAACTTTAGAAACGTCTATCGCGCATCTAGAGAATATATTAATTTTTCTTCAAAGAGAAGGTTTGGCGTCAATCTTCCGTTGGCCCCTGCAGATGGCCAGACCCAATGACGTCGCTAAAAACCACGGTTTATAAGGTCTAAAAGAATCAATCCCTGTTTTAGAAACCAAGAACTTGGTTATTGGATAAAGAAAGAAATGAAAAACGATAAACGAAAACCATGAGATTGCCATTTAAATTTTGCATTTCAACAAAAGATATAAAAGAATCTTGTAGATAGACTGTTGTGCAGAAGGACGCTATTTCTAGTTCCCTCCGCATCTTGGCTCTTGGCTTTTTGGTATCAATGAAGATCTTGGTGGAGTGTAGCTCACTGTACTTAACCTCATTGTACTGTATACATGTCCAAAGTTACAAGCTTACAGCAAGCTCACCGGGGATCGAATGTGAAGTCTAGGTAAGAAAAGTTATCACCCTTATAACCACATATAACCAAGTGCAAGTGCATCAAGTCGCCATGCATTTTTGTGGCTAACTGAATCGAGCTTAGTAGAGACTTTGCCCTACCTTGTGTAAATCCTGGTTTCGTAGATCCATTCGAATTTATTTATCCTTCTATCAAAACGACCAACACCAGAGCGAATGACAATTGCGAGATATACGAAGGTATAAAACGATCATTATGCCAGATGCTCTACCGGCCTACCAATTCCATCACCATAAGCTCTGGATTTTAGGTGTTGGATCTTATTGCTGAGAGTGCTTGATTGTGTATTTAGAAAGGCATGACAATGGAAAGTAATTGATGTATTCAAGGTCTTTTGCTGTACATCTGAAATGATAAGTCTCATGATCATTAAGGGAAAGGGAAAAGGATATTTTCGTCCAATACCTGATTGTCGGGAAGTTGTCCCTCGATATAACTAGGTAACAGCAGATAGTTTTGTTGCACATCTGAAACCAATAAGCAATTGCTTGTACGCAATTCATTTCCCACTTGTGCTTTTATTCTATACGTAGTCACTTTACTGGGTGTACATTACGGCCCTTTGGGTATACAGGCCATTGTTGGAGGTACAACAAGAATTTTGAAAGTACAACATGGAATATAACCATTGAAAGTAAACCTACAGTGTCGAGATATCCAGCCATGCAGAGTGCTGATGGTCCGAAGAAGCATATTCACCTCCTCCAGAAAGAATCTTATTACGAGAGAAACCTTTAGAGGATGTTCAACATGTTTTACTACCTCCAGTGGTTATAATCATCATTAACCACTCCTTTGATCCCGGACTGCTCCATAGCCTCAACTAGCTCCAAACCAATGGGTGATGCAATGGGAATTATAGAACGAACTTTGGTTCAAACTTTCACCGTCATCATATATTTCCGAAAACCATCACAGGGGATTCGCAGCCCACCCGACGCCTATGGCCGGACCATCTCTTCTTGGCTATGATGTCTATTGTGAATAGTTGTAGACATTCTTCCTTCTTTGGGTTGCGATTGATATTTGTAACGAGTGGCGTTCAAATATTTTGGGAAGAATAAAAGTTGGATAAGAAGGGTACTGGAATAGATGGCTCGGATTTTTTGGTCTTTGGTTGTGACTTTGTTGTGTGTCGTCCTTTTTCCGGGGGTTTCTTTTGCATCTTTATTTTCGCTGGTGAGGGTATGGATTCAAAGTTGAATTCGGATCGGAACCATATTTGACTGGAGTCTAGATTCAGTAGTGCTTGTGGTTTGTTTGGTAGTGGAATACTTATGATTGGTAGATAAGCAAGATCTTTTATCAAGGGGACAAATCTAGAGAGGGCTTCGCAACTCCCAGGCACTTTGTGAGGACTATCGACTCTATTGAAACAAAGTCTAAGGTCTATTTCATGAGAATTTTGTCGATTTACTATTCATATTAAGTGCCAGTAAGAATGATAAAAATGGCAACACTTAGTACAACAAGCATTTGGAACTAGGACGAAGCAGAATCGAGACTTATGGTATATTGCTCCAGCACCGGCAAAAGAAGTAGCAAGGCATTACTACAAGTGGGCGTGGCTATCTACCCCTTGATGCTTCACATCAAATCCCTTCATATACCTTTAGATTTTTCTTGTTGTTATTCTGCTCCCTATTCATATGAGCTTCCTGCTCGATGAGGAGAATTAGAATGGCCGAACGCAGTGAATGGCGGCTGGTACGGTTAATATAACCATTATGCACAAAGATTACAAGGAGTACTAGACTTTTACTACTTACCGTTTGAATTATGGGTAGGGATCCTGCTCCCATGGTACCAGAAAGTACTTCGATTGTTGTATATCCTTATGGCAACACCACAGAAAACAATGGATCGTAAAAATATGGTATTTAGAAGCTCGTTTTCCGTTTTCTTTGGCTTCGTGTATGTTTTTTCTGGTCAGTTAAGTAAGATGCTTCTTTTTCGTATTGTTTTTTATATGTCTTTGGCTGTCTTTAAAAGAGACTTAAGATTTTTGGATGGAATATACTTGTACTTTACACAGCGGAAAAGAAGTAATAACACATTCGCAAAGTCTAATATTTATGTATATCCTAATATAGTAAATCACCGCATATAAATGGTCGCTCATCAAATTCCTTAACCCGCAATCACGCAGAGCTATTTCCAAAGTTACTCCTTCGCGTCCCCCACCGGTCAAAAATCCATCAACGACAGATTCCTCAAATTACCAAAAAGGCCACACCATACCACCATCCAAACGATACAAACAGTATATAGACGCAGATCCCGCAGTCAACCTCTCATCCAACAAACACAACGAGCTGTGATGGCCGAGTGGGTAAGTTATACATTCATCTCCACGCTATACGACTGATACTAATTATCCCATTAGTCTAAGGCGATGGTTTTAAGTTCCTAGGAATTCACCATTATCGAAAGATGCGAGGGTTCGAACCCCTCTCGCAGCATGTTTATTTTTTGTTTCCAGGAGGAATTAAAGCTGGGTTAGTTAGAGGTTCTGGAAATGGTGTGGAAGGGTTGGGAGAAATTCTTTTGTTGACCCCACTTACGTTGGTATCCACAGTTGTTGTGGTCTTGTGGAGGGGTCGTTTATCTTCCATGAAGTTCATCATTTTAACGAGAGGGAAATATAAAATGTTGATAATTATAATTATCTAGGATTAGTATGTTGATCTCAATACCAGAAAATATGAGAAATTTCAAGTTTTTTGCACAATAGTTAACCCTATTCCTTACCTTTCTCTCTTTTTCCGTCCGACATCGTTGGCTAGCTTCAACTAAACAGTATATTTGTATTTTTATGACAGGTCTGGGAGGTAGTCGAGAGTGTATACCGACATGTAAAGTGACAGCAACAAGATATATGCGGTAACTAAAGTTTCTTAAATGACGATGTTACAAGATACTTGATTGTATTTATATTATTCAAAAGCTTCGGAAGAAAATCCAATTATAAATTGGTAAAGAGTGTAAGGGCAGCGAGAATTCAAAAGCGACGACAGCAACTCAAAGCCAAACATCAGATGTAACTCTTGAATTAAATTTCTATCTCAATTCACATTATAAGACGCTTGATTTCCATGGTACTCTTTCAGCATCAGAATGCTATGAGCGCAATGAGAGGATTTAAGTTCTAGCAATTTCAATAGTAACTCACTTAACAATCTTTATTTTCTGTCAAATTTCATCAAACGTTCTCTTTTATATTATAAGTTACAACATTCATTAATCACTAAACTAAACTAATCTATAATATATCTCAATAATTCACCTTTATATATTAGACTTTCAGTCAAATTATATATTTTAAAAAGTGAATGAAACCTAGATTTCTGTAGAAGTTCAAAATCAGCCTATAAAAGAAATCATTTAAGAGTTTGAATGTTCTTCAATTTATTCAATTATTGAAAATCTCGAAAGTTAATAAAATATCTATCATTATAGAACTACTATTGGTAATATAGATCTTGATCAAATCGTATATGACTGAACAATATTCTATTTTACACTTATTTGATTTTCTATAAAAAAACCAAGTTCATTCAATACCAATATACAAATACTACTCATGATAAATATTTCAAAGTATTGACGATAATTAAATAATTAAATACAAATCTAAAACAATGATAATAATATATAAACGAAAATCTAAACTTTAATTTTATATCTTTATAATAACAATCTTTTTATTCTTTTAAAATTCTCATTCAAATATAAATTTCAATAATCTTTAAATTATTATATCTTATCTTTTAAATAATTTATTCTATGATGATAAAAAACTACACTATGATCTTTTTTTATTTTAAATCTAAGAAATAAAAAAAAACCTAAAAGATCAAAATATATATTCAAATATCTATATTATATTCTAACAAAATAAATAAAGATTTAATTTCTTTAATAATTTATATATTATTTATATAATAAATTACAAATTATAAATCAAATAATAGATAAATATTTTATAATAAGATTATAAAAGATATTAAATTCAATAATAAAGTTATTTCTATATAAAAAAATATTATATTTTTTAAATCTTTATAATATAAATATTATTTATTTTAAATAATTTATTAATATTCTAGAAAATAATACAAAAGTTTTTTTTTTAATAATTTGTAAACAGGAAGAGAGTATAATAATATAAATAAATAAATAAAAAGAATAATAATACTCATAGAAATCAACAGTGGTATATCTGAATACATATATACACCCACACAACTTCGCATCCCTACCTCCCTACCGTCTACCCATCTATAAAAAACATTAAATCCCCGTCTCTTTCAGAAAAAAAAAACATATTTACTATATTATAATTGAATGAGTGATGATTAAGGAATGGGAAATGGGGAATGGGGAATGGAGTGTAACGATCTGGTCGAGGCAGCGGCTGCCTCAGGTTTTCGTATGGTTGGTAGTTGTAGGTTAAGGCTAATAATCACTGGTTATCCACTCGAAGATGAATACGTTACTAGATCAATTGGAATATAAGTAAACTA